GTAATAGACACGATCTGGTAATTAAACGAATACATACAATCTGTAGATGTGAATATGTATTGCAAAATGCCCCCCAAAAAAGGAAAAAGGGAAATGACATAACGTCCCACTAAGACATGTCATTGGTTTTCATTTGCAGCTACATGCTTCAACTCTTCCCTGGAAGGTTCATCACAAGCATTAGGAGTCCATCTGTCCTTTACCTTCCTCATGTTCAGGATCAGCAGTCTGTGTAATGAGACCCAGTCTTTCCTCTCTCCAGCCACTTGGGCCGGCTTCCCCAAAACATTCTCAAGCCAGCAGAGAGGCCTAGTCCCTCCAGCATGTCCTCTAGGTCTTGACCTGGTGACACCAGGAGGTGCCCAGGTCACCTCAACTGGCTCCTCTTGACATGGAGAAGCGGCAGCTCTACTTTAAGTCCCTTTGACTTTCAGCTTCTCACTCTTTCACTTATAAAAAGTGAAAGAGTGAAGCCCTCAGATACCCCCAGGAGAAAGCTCAACTGTTTCTGCAGCGATCTTGTTTTCAGGGTTGGAGCGTAGATAGAGAGATATGACTCAGCTCTCTCTTCACCACCACAGAGAAAGTCTCTGTGGAGAGAGCTGAGTCTCTCTGAGGAGAGAGCTGACACCCGCACCAATCCACCTAGCGATCTCTCGCTCCGTTTTTCCCTCATTCATGTACAAGACACCAACATATTTCAATTCCTCCACTTGGTGCTGGACCTCTTTCCCAACCTGGAGGAGGAACTCTACTCTTTCCCAGCTCAACATCATGGCCTTTGATTTGGAGGCACTGGTCTTCATCCCGGCAGCTTCACACTCAGCTGTGAACCGCTCCAGCAGAAGTTATTGTCTGTCTGTCCGAACTCTTCATATTGTGCTTGAAATACGTAATACGACTCCAGAAGCAGTTCCCATCAGCTGCGTCTGGAGTCTCACAGGCCTAAAAACCTGAGAAAACTGCTTCTCCAGCCTGACAACATCCCTCACAGCCTGTGTCCACTAGCAGGTTCAAGCCCAGACAGGTACTGAACACTTTGCTGCCACAGCTCTGGTAATGTGCCTTGACAAAGTCAGCACAGAACACGGTCCACTCTGACTCAGTGTCAATGAAGCCCAGTGGCAGTGTGCTTTGCTTCTGTGTTTGGCTTCACACTCTGTGCTGTAAAACCCATGGAAAGCCATTCCATGACGCTCTCTACACATTGTTCTTGATCTGATCTGAAGGTCACATTCAGCCTGGGGGCCTCTAGCTGGTGACTGCACAAAGTTGGTGTTTTCATCTTGATTTTGTGATTTCACAGAAGTCACCATTATTATCATTATTTAAGGTTTGCAGCTTCTATGACAAGCAAAAGAATAAGAGTGGCAGCATTTATCATATCAACTAATAGAACTGTAAAAACATAAAGTAACTAAGAACTAGTGAACAAGGCCTGATCTTTGTCTCATTCATGAACTTTACTTTGTAAATTCTAAAGGAAATGAGAGGCAAGAGATGGAAAACAAGCAAAGGCGACACACAATGTGGATAAATGTCTACATACAGGTGAAACTACTGAGGGCCTTTCATGCAGGTGGGTAATCCATATGTAAAAAAGAGTGGGAGATAATCACCCATATCAGCCAGATTACAGAGAGCCAGCAGGCAGACGTTGACCAGCGGGTCATTATCAGGGTACTCCTTCATGATGGACACTAATCTGGGGATTACACCACTCTGGACTAACTGGTCCTGTTGATGTGCTGAGGAGAAAGTCAGACAAGGAAGGTGTGTAAGGACATTGTAACAAATATGAAAATCTATATTTATATTAGAAATTGAATTATTAATTAATTTCATCAATAAAAATCACGTGTTTTTTTGCACCTTATATTATATTCAATGTGATGAAATTTCACTTATCTGTTCTTGTAAAGAGCTTTGTTGTACTGAGACCATGTTAAACAAACAAACCAAAACAATTGAACACTCTGATTCTCAAAATTAGAGAATTAGAGTATTAGAGTGGGTCAAAGTAAGTCAGAGCAGATCTGACCAGATCTGACTGGCACTGTGCTGTCAGATCTACTCACTGTTGTCGAAGCAGATGCGCCCGATGGCCCTGCCAGTGTTCAGCAGCATTTCCTGGTCGCTGCTGTTCAGATGAGGGACAAGAGCCTTCACCAGGCCCGCCTCGATGCATGGCTCTCTCACAGCGGCTGCAACACACATGGACGACAAACAAGCATGGAGACTCTGCTTTTATAGTGTTTTTGTTGTTTGCGTCTGAGAATGAATCAAAACTCAGTTTTACATCCATTACAAAGAGGTCAAAAAGCAGTTTCCTATGCATTGTTTGACTGTTATGGATATGAAACTTAGCAAGAATCAAGATCAGGTTGGTGAGAACTACGAGAGAGGAGTCTTTCATCTCAGACGTCTTTGGTACCAAACAAAACATTTTCAAAGTAGAAAAGGAAAACTTTGATACAAACTAAGAACTGCATTACTACAATAGAATTGAATAGAATAGAATTTGTTTGTCACTGTACATAGAATGATATGAAAGCCAGCTTAATATTGAATCAGTTACATTTATACCATATGTACATATATATATACATAGACACATATAACCATCATTTAATTTAGTGCCAACAAACTTTTCTAGATTCAACAAGGAAAGTTTTGAGTTTGTAAAGTTGAAAACTGGCTAGAAGAGACTAAAAAATATTTCGATTAACCTCAGAAATTCTGAAGGAAAAAGGAAAACCTTGGACATTTCTGAGATAGAAAAGTCACAAAAAATATTTCACAAATTTTGTTTTTACTTTTTAAATTGATAAATTTCAGAGGTTTTCAAACTTTCTGAGATTAACCCCAATATTTCAGAACTTTTTGGGAGAAATTTACTTTTTTTTTACCTACAGCGGCTATAATATGTTACTTGTAATGTATGACAGCGTAGTAGGACCATTATAGACAGAACAATAATAATAGGATATATATGTTATGATCAATTTCTTTCTGATAAGTTAAATTTGCACCTTTTCTATGTTAGTACAGATCATAAAAATGTATTAGACCAAAAGGAGAAAAATGACCTGATTAGTAATTGTCTTGGTGAAATCCAGCACTCTTTATATGTGATTACTGTTTACTGATGGAGCTAGTGTATGCAGAGTGACATGCTGCTAGAGCATTCTGGGAGTTTTTATTTCAACCCAGTTAACTTGTGTTGGGGCAGCATTTTACTGGAGGACGTGGGTTGCTGTTGTTTTATTTTTTTGTCAGTGTGCGGCGGAGATGAAGGGGGCAGTAAAAACTTACCTTCTCGTGCCATTTCTGCCACCAGCAGAGCCACCTGGCAGCTCAGGCTGCTCCTGCTCCGTAAGGCCTGAGCCAGAGTGGGGAGAATCCCACTTCTCACTACCTCTTCAGCCGCATCCTTCTCTGTGGGCAGGACACACAAAGCTGCTTTTTCAAACATTGTTCTTTTTTCCTCTCTCCCTTTCACAAATTACTTTATATTCAGATTAAAATGGATTAAGGAGATGCCATAACCACACAATTCTTTCTGATTTGTCCCCTGTTAGCCCTGCAAAAGATGAGGACTTTTTTTTTTATTTTATTTTGGCTTTTGTAAGCAAACATCACTGAATATTGTCAGAGCTCACTCTTCTCCAGCAGAGCAGCCAGGACTGTATCCAGATGAGGCTTCAGCTCTTCTTCGATCAGCTCTGTGCTCACACTGATGGCCTTCAGAGCCTCATTTAGAGAGTCTGCAGAATGAGAGCAAATAGTTTGTCAGATCAAAGTGTGTCTGTAGCGAACAATACATTGGTTTTGTTCAGTTCACTTCCATTCAGTTTTATTTATCACAAATGTCTTCTCAATGTACTTTGCAAAAAAAAATAATAATAATAATTTAATTCAGTCATACATATATTAACATTGTCTCCAGTTATCAAACAGTACAGCAGATTCAATTATGTAAATGGTGGTTTAATGATGAAATAACAGAAATCCAGACAGCACAGGTGAGGCAAGGAACTCCATGCTGGTAACCATGACAATGACACGACAAGCGACTGCGACTGTAGACACAATAGTAGACAAGGACCCGACAGCAAGAGACACAGGTGGACTTAAAAACATGCAATATTTGCACCAATGCAGACCCAAACGTTCACCAGCATGGAGGGGTTTGCACCATGAACAGGCCTGTGTGCCTATTGCGTAAATCACATGTCAAACTCAGGGCCCGGGATCCAAACACCCACTGTGCGCCCCCACCTTCCCGCCCCCCACCCCCCCTCTCTGCTCCTTAGCTTTTTATGTGGCCCCTAAACTTTGGGTGCTAAATTTTATCAATCAGTCCCTCCGCCTCAGTTTACTGTGATTCTGCGACCACAGAAATTTATGCAACATTCTCAGATCATGCAGATTTACATCCTAATGCATCACTGTGAGTTTATTGCAGTTTTTGCAAATTGTTTTTTTTTTTTTTTTAGATATCGGGACCAACTCCATATAAAAGTATGGAGTTGGGAGAAATACTCAAGCCTGAGGGAACAGACAGTATAATTAATGTGGCAAGTAACAAAGTCATATTTGACATCATACTGAAGTGCAAATATTGCAAAATACCTTGCAAATATTTAAATTAGCATAAAAAGAAACAGTCTGCAAAACATAAAAAAAAAATCAAAAAAATTAGCAACAACTGCAAAATTCCAGAGGGGACTACCTGATGTGAAAAGATATTCAATATTATTTTATTTCAATAAGTACTTATTGAATGCAGACATTAGTATTAATATTTTAACAGTTTAATGAGTTTCACGAATGCATACTTTGCACAACTGGCACTTGAGAACATTCATTCTCTTAATTAAACTGACTTTGACTCCCCTGAGTTCAATACTTTATTTCTTCCTGCACAATGTCAATGAGAGGAAAAGATATGACATCACCATCCGCTGCAGAGCGGGGAACTTAAAGCAGATCTGACGCAGGTAGCCTGGGCAGCACAATAACCCCTGTTATATAAGCTAGAGGTGGAACAAAGGTCTGGGGAATCTCATTATCAGACAGGACAGGTCTAATTCCTGAGAGCTGTCCCAGCTACGCAACCAAACATTCCCATCAGAAACAACCAACCAATGAAGGTTGATATCTGACAGACTGGCGGATCTGTGGCAAGATGCAGACAGCCTTCATCAATAGCTTTGCCAGGGAAGGTTCACCTCCCAGCAAAGGATTAGGGACAGAACAGTATTCCACCAGGTTGAACACAACAATTCAGAGAAAATCCCTGGGGTTCACATTAGCAGCAGCTAACTCTGGGTTCAGAATGTGTGTTGGGAAAGTTGGGAATGTAGCAACTTGTTCACTGTTGCTGCTGGTTTTCTGTGACCTCCAACTGATTAGAGGTGAAAACAACAAGCCAGGAGGATGTTTCTGTAACATTGATGAGTTGTTAGGTATGTTTGCATATCTAACTGCTCAGATATGTAAACATTAATTGTATGAATCTGCTTCTGATGTAGCGTGATTAGAAAGCAACTTGCAGTGTTATATTTTCTGTTTTGTTTTATTATTGTTACTAAATATTCATCTAGTAACCTGTTAAGGGACTGCAGATGAGAAGTGGCTAATGCTACAGCCTGGTACAGCAAATTATAATATTTATATTTGAACTGCCCCTTTCTAATGAAGGATTGTATTATTATTATTATTATTATTATTATTATTATTATTATTATTATTATTATTATTATTATTATTATTACTACAACCAAGTCAGCTTAAATTTTAGGTTATTTAACCTAAAATTTTGGAATAAAGATGACCTGCATGCAGCATTGCATCACACACAGAAACACACAGAGAGAACGACTTCCAGACAATAATAACTACAGCTAATCTCTTTAAACCCAGCTGACTAAAATAGCTTGAGTAGAGGGGAGGGGCGCTATTCACTACCTGCTACGTCAGGACCTAAACCCCATGTCTTTTTGTTTTTGTGATCAAGTGTGTTTGTGTGTAGAAGGAAGAGGGACGCAGAGGGGTTGATTTACCAATCAGTCTTTCTGGGATCTTCCAGGAAGCCCACCTGGTGTGTGTGTGTGTGTGTGTGTGTGTGTGTTTGTGTGTGGGGGTGTGTGTGTGTGTGTGTGTGTGTGTGTGTGTGTGTGTGTGTGTGTGTGTGTGTGTGCGTATGTGTGTGTGTGTGTGTGTGTGTGGGTAGCTGGGTGCATGCGTATGTGTGTGTGTGAGAGAGAGCTTCTTCTACTCTGCAACATGTCAGCATGCTCACAATAACTCAGCTACTCACTATGCAGCTGGGGGAAAACAATAGCACAGAGCTGTAGAGTCTAATCCAATTCATGTCAGGCACTACTTAGCTCATCTGAACGCCTCTCGTTCTACAGGAACTAGATGCTTATTGTCGAGGATATTGAAAAACAGAAATGGTTCAGGATTATTTGATGTTGGCATGATGCACAGAGTAAAACTGTCACATCAGCTGTTAGCAAAAAACCAGCAAAAAAAAAAAAAAAGAAAAAGAAAACTCCACCGAACAGGCAGCTGCAGTATCTATCTATCTATCTATCTATCTATCTATCTATCTATCTATCTATCTATCTATCTATCTATCTATCTATCTATCTATCTATCTATCTATCTATCTATCTATCTATCTATCTATCTATCTATCTATCTATCTATCTATCTATCTATCTATCTATCTATCTATCTATCTATCTATCTATCTATCTATCTATCTATCTATCTATCTATCTATCTATCTATCTATCTATCTATCTATCTATCTATCTATCTATCTATCTATCTATCTATCTATCTATCTATCTATCTATCTATCTATCTATCTATCTATCTATCTATCTATCTATCTATCTATCTATCTATCTATCTATCTATGCATTCATCACACACACACAGAAGGATATTATGCATGAAGCTACTCACCCACGTCTGTCATGGCTGCTAGTCGGCAGACTCTCTGCTGGCTCCCTGCTTCTACTGCTACTGCTGTGTGTGTGTGTGTGTGTGTGTGTGTGTGTGTGTGTGTGTGTGTGTGTGTGTGTGTGTGTGTGTGTGTGTGTGTGTGTGTGTGTGTGTGTGTGCGTGTGTGTGTGTGTGTCACTTGGGGTTGTGGCTAGGAGGAGAGCAACATTCGCATATTAAGATCAGGCTTTGACTCATTTAGCCTCAACATTTCTCCTTGTTTTCAGTTCTTATGTTTTGTTTGTTGCTCAGATTTCCTGTATCCCATAATAATCCCTCTCTCCTTCGTCCTCAGTGTCGTCCTCACTTCTCATCTCTGCCTCTGCAGCACTCAGTACCACCTCAGTACAAATCCACCTTCCTAGGAAGCTTTATGTTCACACACTGAGGTTTGAGACCGGGTTCTTCAGAGGATTAGACGTTGCAAAAGTCACCAGATCAGAGGAAAATGACCACATATTTTTTTTCTCCATCTACTAATTGTCATCTATTGACGTCGTCCAGGATCAATACTCCGGCTTCTTTTTGTGTTGTAGCAGATGGCTGTTTGCACCGAGCCAGGTTCTGCTACTGCTGGATGTTTCTTCCTGTTAACGGGGAGTTTTTTCTCTCCACTGTAGCAACATGTTTGCCCAGGAAAAGTGAATGTTGCAAGTTAAGGACTCGATGAATGTACATGAAATTAGTGAAACACAGAGGTTTGAACTGTTTATCAGCACCTCTGAGGATTTATTTTATTATTCATCAGTGGTGTACAGTTTCTGTTAAACTCTTCTTTTGATGCTTGAGCACATATATGGAGGGGCAGACACTAACATTATGTTAAACAATAAATGCACCTAATGCTGAGACATATTTGTGTTATTGGTCACAATTTACATTTCTGTATGTTTTTTTTAATATAAATTTGCATTTAAAATCTAATTTACTTTAAAGTCATAATTTTAGAAGTAAAAGTACAAACCGGTATTTTATATGGATTTAATGGAAGTAGAGAAATTACGTTATGCTGAGCCATAGTAAACATACTTTAGATCAGGTACTTTGGAAAACAAATACTAAATCAGTTTCACTTTATTTCGGTAAATAAACAATTTCCCACATAGAAAACAAAAACAAAATACTACTTAACAAATCCATAACTTAACAAAAAAGAAGTAGGCTGAAGCCAAGGCTTATGCTTGCCGACTTTCTAAATAATTTTTCATAACCAACATTACATAATTACCTGACTGATAAATAATTGTTAGACTGTAAAAAACAGAACAGGGTAATCTGTGAGTTCCTATTACAATATTCAGCCTAGCTGTTTCTGTTTAGTGGTGTTACCATCTCACAACGCAGTGATAAAACTCTAATATTTTCCTCATTGAAAAGAATCCTAAAAACAATAGGCCTTCGCAGTGCTTAGCTGCTCGGGCCTAAATATTTCCTATGCTTGCTAAATAAAGACCATATTTTGGCTCTAACGTTTGGCTAGTGCCTCTCATATCAGGCTGAAGAGGGCGCTCTTCCACAGAAAGCCATACGTCTCCAGACGAAGAAGAAGCTGTTACGACACTTAGGTTCGCTTTACGGACAACGCAGCTTTTCTGGCTACCTGGTGCTGGTCCGGTGGTCCCGGCAGATGAAACACAATTTGTGGGTTGTTTTCAGCCTCTGAGTTTAATACCCGAGCCCAGAACAGCAGCTCCTCTCCGGTCCGTCCACCGGCTCTGACCCGGTCCGTTCGCTGGAGAGTAATGGCGGCTCAGGGAGGAGTTCTGTTCCAGGAGAAGGTCAGCAGGCTGCTCAGCAGGGAGAACAGGAAGCCGGTGCTGAAGCCCAACAAACCGCTGGTCCTGAAGGACTCTGTGGCCAACAGGAAACCCAAGAAAGGAGGTGAGAATCGAGCTGTGAGCGGCTGTTCCTCTGCTGTCGGGTCGGGGTTAAAGGTCAACCTTTCTGTCTGCAGAGGCGTCCTGCATCACTGAGATGTCCCTGCTGATGGCCTGTTGGAAGCAGAACAACTTTGTGGACAGCCTTTGCTCCAATGAGGTCAACACCTTCTACACGTGTGTTCACAAAGCGGAGGTGAGTCTGGTTGTTTGGTGCTTTTGGTCAGAGATTTTGGTGTTTTTAAATTCAGTTTTTGAATTACATATGTTTCCATAATGCTGGAAAACAAATAAATCTTTTCTTTTCTCTAAATTCCATTAAGCAAATTTGTTCTCATGATTCCGATTCAATGGAAACACAGCTAACGTCTTCAGTCAGAGGCATCCTCATTCATTGCAAGACTGTCTGCTACAGGAGATCCTTCCAGTTCTCCTGTAGCATCACCATCCACAACAACTCTTTGAAGATATCGGGATGATATGAGTTATGACAATTACCTTCAATTTGGGATAATGGGATTATATATATATATATATATAAATTTATTTTTGGTAAATAAATATAAATATATATATGAACAGAGGGAGAAAGACAAGTGATCAATATCAGTACAAAATACGTCTGATAAATTGTTCAATTATTTCACTGAACTTACATCGAGAACCGCACAGCATTCTGGGAGACGTAGGAACCGGAAATTCTTTAGCCGCTCAACCCAAGTAACTCACCGCCTCACTCTTTGGTTACTTAGCCACAACCTGATGAGTAACCTGCGCAGTACACAGAGGTCTTCCTCTGCCTGCGCTCCATCTGTTCCTCTGAATGTTGAGGACAGACCTACTGGAGTAATACGGTGCTTTTTGTTTCCCAGGCAGCAAGGAAGAACAAGTCTGAGCAGAGCAACATGAGTGGAGGACGTCTGACACCGAAACAAGCCAACACTCTGCTGAAGAGGTTTCCTAACCTGCGATCTGAGATCTAACAGACATGTCAGAGTTCTATGTTTGGATTATGTGTTGCCTGAATTTCCCCTCTGTAATGATGATCTATTTGTACATTTGTTCAATAAATTGTTTATTTTACACAACTATCACTCCTTCAGTTTGTGTCTCATAGTTCTAACAGCTGGCTTTATGATACAGCTCAGAAAACTGGACCTGAACGCAGTGATATCATAGGAAGGAACTCCAGAGTAAAATGTCTACCATCCACTGAACTTTCCTTAAATTCTCATGTTGACCATCAGGAGAGACCGAATTTAATATTGGATAAAGGTTTGGGAACAAGGGACATCTGGCTGGACATCTGGCTGGACATCTGGAGAAAGCTTCGATCAGGGGTCTTAAACTCCAGTCCTCTAGGGCCCCTGTCCTGAAGTTTTTAATTGTGCCCCCGGTACAAAACGCTGGAAAGCAATGGCCTGATCACCTCCTCCTTGTCTGGATCAGTTCTCCAGAGCCTTGCCAATGACCTAATTATTCTATTCAGGTGTGGTACAGCAGAGGCACATCTAGACGTTGCAGGACGCGGCCCTCGAGGACTGGAGTTTGTGATTTTTAAATGGTATCAGCAGCTGTTTTCTATTTGTTGTTCCTTACTTATTAGGTTTTCTATTGAAATTCACAATTGTTCTTAGTACTAAATTATCTCAAAACATGTTCATTATTAATTCCCCATACCTGCCAACTCTCCTGTTTTTTCCGTGAAATTATTGTATTTTACCTCCGTTGTGACCAAGTGTGTGAGTGTGCTTGTGTGCTCCAATTTACACGCCAGAGCCTGTACCCGGATTTGGCCAGTCGCAGGTGCTAATTTCCACCCCTTGTCATCACTCAGAGGCTTCTTTATATCGCTGTGATACAGACTGCTACTGGAGGTTTTCATACCAACAGTCATCACCATATACAATATCTCTGTGAAGAACCTTAAATTAGTGAGTAACAGCAACATATAGCATTCCTTATGATTCAGTGAAGCAGTTCTGAATGTGAGTTGAATGAAAGGTCCTAGATTCATCGGTTCACTGTGGAACCAGGCATGATTATAGAAGAACCTTTCCACAATGAATCTTTACCATAATCAGCGGCGTTGGATTAACGCCTGGTTCTTGGAACAAATAACCTGAGAGCGAATAAAATACCGCACAATGTTTTATTACAAAAATCACAAACATGTTTGTGTTTCTGCCTCAGGTACCAAAGTGCAGTTAGACACCATAATTCACTCTGTTTGATCTCACTGCTAAAGATATCAAAGACGACACATTTCCACAGAAACACTGGCAGGCAGGCAGAGTGGGCAACATACCCACATTAAAGCTAAAATGAGCTAAAATGCTAATGTTAGCTTAAATTATATCATTATCACATTGGCTGCTGCTCCCGTCTGATATTTCTATCCATCATTAAAGACCGTGAGGTTGATGAATAAGTGGACGGATGGAGGGATGAATAGGTGAAATGAAGAGAATAAAGTCACAGTAGTGGGAGAACAATAGCAAACAAACATATGTCAGCCATGTTGATGTTTTAATGCTTCAGGATAGTAAAAGAAATGAGGGACGGCCGGAACCGGACGCAGGAGGCTCTGGAGGTGCTACTCCTCAAACAGAGGAGGAGGAGCGAGCTTCAGGTGGAAACTCTCTGGCTGGGCGGGAAGCAGGAAGCCCGCTTTCTCGCTGCTTTGGCCGTGCAAAACCTCAGAGAGGATGGACAGCTGGAGGACAGAGAGAAACAGCGTGGTTACACACACGTCGCCATCTCACAGGGAGGAGTATTCCAGGCAAAGACAAGTTGTGATTATTTCACTTATAAAATGGAAAAGTTGTCTTGTTGTAAGTGAAATAGTCTGAGTGGGGCTGCAACCTTTTCATCAGTGTTAATAAATCATTGACTTAAAGCAAACTCCTATTTACTGCTGAAAAGTTAACTGGGCGACACTTTATTTAACAAGATGTGACACTGTCATAAACATGTCATAACAAGAGTCATGAACATGAAGGAGTCTTTATGAATGTTTACAACGGCTGTCATGAAGTGTCATTAAGTGAAAAATGACACTTTTAATGCAAAGTTGCATTAAAAGTTGCATTAAAAGTGCCATTATTCACCGGATGAAACTTCATGACAACAGTCAGAAATATTCGTGAGGACTCCTATGAAACCTTTTCATTATTATTCAGAATTTCTATTTCACTTCTGTTTCTCAGTGGGATTTTGATAACAGATTGAATCTGTTGTCAAGACAACTGTCAGTTTTGATACACGAGTGACACTAAAGCCCATGTGACGGCGTCTACGTGTTTCTAGAACTGCATTTCCAATACAAATATGCACCAAAGTTTGTTAATATTGCACTAGTGTCCAAAAAAAAAAAAACACAATTTGGCAACAGTGGAGATTCCATTAAATAAGATTTTACATCACATGTGAATAAGTCTGTTCACATGTCATTAAGAAACATGCCACAGCTGAACCTCCCCCCCAAAAAAATGTATAAAAAAGATGAGTTTTTTCTTTAAACTGCTGTGTTTCCATTAATCAAATTTATTTCCGTGACTCCAATTTGTACGACAGTAAATGGAAACACAGCGGTTGTTGCATCAGTGAAACAGAGACGGCAGTGGTCCTGTACCCGGGACGGTCCCCTGTACAACCCTCGCAAGTGATCCCAGGAGAGTTCCTGCTGCACATCCAATGTTGCCACAGCAACCACCTGCAACACAGCGAATAATTGCACATTGGGCTGTTATCATTATACACTAGATTCACACTGAAACAAGAACAACTCATGAATTTGTTCCTGTCATGTTAAATCACTGCTGGTACTCAGACGCTTTACTTGTTAAGAGATAAATCAATAGAAGCAGAGCATTAAAATAGACAAAGATTATTATTCTTTCCAAGACTTTAAACCAGAGACTTATTCCAGAATGACTGCAGCGCTCCGGGGATGAAGCTTTGACAGGGAGGAGGTCGGTGTCGTGTGCAGACAGGAAGTGATCCAGCTTACCTTCTTCCTGTGAGTCTCAGCTCCTTTTTCATGATGTCCTGATGAAAATCGAGTCTGGAGACCAGAGAACACACACACACACACACACACACACCCACACAAACACCCACACACCCACGCACGCACGCACGCACGCACGCACACACACACACACACACACACATATTCACAAACACAAAATGATAATATCAAATGGCACACAGTAATTCTAGTCTGTCCGGCTCTAGTTTAGCCTGAAACCAGTAAACCCCAACATTAAATATAACTGATGTGATATTTAATGACGGGCAGATGAGACAATATTTTAGTAAACTGCAAACAACTTAATTATGTGTTTAACCTAAAATTATACATAGTCTGCCATGTTGTTTTTTGTTTGAATTTCATTTCTAGAAATCATTTTAGTGACATAATGAAGTGAAGTGTGAGCCACTGGAAGAATAGCAGCAGCTAAAATGGATTCTGAATATGTTCAACTCTGACCTCACTCTGCTGTAGGGAGGGATAACTATTGCTCAAAACTATTCCACAGACTGTCAATACAAAAACTCTAAATTTTCCTTATACTCAGAAATTAACCACAAAAAAACCGAACAACTGAATTAGCTGCACACTGAGAGAGTAGCTGTCCTCTGTTTGGGTCCGGTCATGGCGTTTGGAGTTGTGCTTTATGAGCTTTTCCTCATGATTAGCGTAAACTCACTGACCTGGGCGAGAGACGTGCTGCGGCTTCTGTTTGGCTCAGAACAAGCCCCGCCCCTTCCTCCATGGCTGGAGGAACACTTGTAGCACCTCCATGGCTGCTGCGGCTCCGAGGCCACACCCCACCCACAGTCCTTCTGCTGCAGGCACTGCAGGTGGTACAGGTGGCCACAGCTGGAAAACACGCAGAGGTCAGGGGTCAGAGGGAACTTTGTAAAGTATCGTCCAGAGGGAGAGAAGTACAGAACTCCCCATTATGTAATAACACCGCAGGATGTAATGTAATAATAATGTTTGAGTGTGTTAAGTGGAAAACAGACCTTCATTAACCCATTCAGACCACAAAAAACAAAAACCTGTCAGATGCCTTTACTACCCATGAAATAATTCAAAAACAGTCCAGACAGTTTGAATAGTTTCCGGCGTGGAAGCAGCAGAAATAATCAAGTGGTTTTCACTTTGCAGTGACAGGACGTGTTACCTGAACACGACGATCTCCTCGGACGCATCCTGCTTCCTCTTGTAGTGCTGCAGGCAGATGTTGCAGCTGTCCTGGCGGGGATGAAGCCCTCTGGTGACGGCGGAGTGGAGGTGTGCCAGGGACCAGTGGAGGTCGTGGTTCAGCAGATTTGTTGTTGTTTCAAGCAGAGTCTGAGACACAGGCACATTTTCTTACTGCTTCTTTTGCCAAAAATTTGTCTACTGAATGCTATGCTTACATCTTTTTTTTTTTTGTCACAAAAATGTTTCAGCTCATCAAGCTAATTTAATATTGGATAAAAATAAGCAGAGTAAATACAGAAAGCAACTTTTAAATAAAAACCACTGTAGATATTTTATATCACTTGATAATTATGTTTTATTGATATATTAGAATGCTAAAATATACAAACATTTTAAAAAGACTTAAATAAATAAATAAGCAATGCTTAGCCTGGTGGGGGCACAAGATAAGCCTGGTGACCCGCCAGGCTTATAAAACACTGGTGGAAACCCTGGTGTCTTTCATAAAAAGACACACACACACACAAAGCTTGTAGTTTGAGTTGTGGTCCACAAGTCCCTGAATGAAGACATGTGGACGAAGCGTTACCTGTTCATAGGTGAACGTGTCCAGCATGCCCAGAATGAGTCCCTGGATCTCCGCCAGCTTTCCTCTTCCATAAACTGGGTCCTGATTAAAACCATCCAGCAGAACAAGTTTAAATATATCAACTCGAATACTCAATAAAAATCATCGGATGCTCCACTAAATGTTGCATACATAACAAATACTGTCGGCTTGACTTGAAAGGAAGTAAGCCAGCATTGCTTGTAAAAAGTATTCATCCCCTTGGATGTTTTATGCTTTTTATTGATTTCAAAATCGATTCATTTAATAAAAACACACACATTAAAGAACTTTAATGTCAACGTGAAAAACTAGTTTCTACCAAATAATGGGAGTTAAATAAAAATATTTGACATAAAGTGATTTCATAAACACTGCCCCCTCTGAAGTGACTGACTGAACTGAACCAGTGGTCCAGTCAGCTGTTGCTTGTACTCTGAGAGCAGTGAATGTGTCTCAAACGACTGCAGTCTAAAGAGAGCTGGTTCTGGAAGGACCATTCACTGGTTCATCAGTATCCCTGGGTAACCACTGCATGAGGACAACTAACAAGCAGAGAAAATGTTATCGAGACGTATCAGTCAGGGGATGGATATAAAAAAAACATCTCTAGGGCCCTGAACATCCCAGGAGTTCAGTTCAATCCATCATCAATAGAAGGAATATGGTGCATGTGTAGATCTGCCTAGATCAGGCGGACCTCACAACCTGAATGTCAAAAAGCAGACTGCTGAGAGAGGACGCCCAGTTTATTATTACATTTATAATAAACTTATTAGAACATTTATTATCCAGCAAGACGACCACTCAAAGCTTCCAGCTTAATCTACAAGAGATGGACCAAGAGAGGACCAAGAGTGGCCCAGTCAAAGTCCACATTTGTTCACAGCCAATCCCCAGCAACCTAACAGAACTGGAACAAATTAGCAGGAAGAGTGGAGGAAAACTACAGACGACCCTGACTGACTAGCTGTGTTTCCTCTGACCTTTAAATTTGCCAAATTGGAATAACAAAAATAAAGGAAACATGCCAATTTTAAACAAACTCTCAATTTTGATAATTGTTTTTGCACAAGAATGAACTGGTTGAAAATTAGCCGTATTACAATTGGTGTTTCTGCAAAATTGCAATGGAGACACTTACTGAGACCTAGACTACCTGCTGAGATATTGCCTGGGAAGGAGGAGAATAATTATGCAACCAGTTATTTTATATTGAATGTTTCATTTAATTGTCATTACTGTGAATAAATCAGTTTTCACTTTGACGTTAAAGATTTTTTTGTTCATTTTCTTTGACAAAGTCAAATCGTTTACAATAATTGATTGTTAAAAGCAATAAAAATTGTAAAACACCCACGGGTATGAATACTTTCAATAAGCACTGACTGTGAGCGAGTGCTGACTGCTGGTGACCGTTTCCCTTTACGACAACATCTAATTTCAGCATGTCGGGAGCCGACCAACACAATGTCTTTTGTCTTTACTGATTGTTCCAATACACTGTTTCATTCATTGATCTATCATCACTGACAAACGACAGATACTCACCTGCAGGATCTGCTGAATGATGGCAGGAAGTGAAATGAAGCTGCTCATACAGTTGAGAACCTTCAGGGTCATCTCCTTCAGCCCTGGGACGATCACAGACATGTTACCGTTATTAAACCAATCACAGCAAAAACATATCATCTCATGTTCAGGTTCTCCTCTTCTACCAGTCTGTCCACCATGCTTTCTCCAGTCATGTTAGAACATGTAGCTGTAGCTGACCTGAAAGCTGAGAGTCATAAAAGGGGCTTAGGACGATTTAACATCGCCTGAACAGAAACATGGCCGTCATCTGCTGAGCAAATTCAAAGTCACCTCAACAAAACTTCCTTAATCCAAATGTAAAATTATATAGTCATCAATGAAACTCAGAACGGATCTCATTTATTTCTTTTTTTTAGCAATCACAAGATAAACTAACAAGAAGACAATGGAGCCTGAAACAGAGCCTTGATGTATCTCTTACATCCAGAACAGGGAGGTTCACGGCTGCTTTCTCTTACTTTGGGAGATTGTATTTGTAATATTCTACAATAATGTATTTTTTAATTTTCTCTAATCATCCGTTTTAAGACATGCTGTTTTTCTTTAGACAATCATACAAAGATCTTTTTAAAGTAGAGCTGGAGCAAACATCGGGATATGAAGAGCGTTTAGTGCAACATCAAATTCTGCCACTTCCTGTTGAACCATTTAACAATCCTGACAAATCCATCTGCTCCAAATATTTGCTGAATTATTAAGCAAGTAGTTTGTGTTGCTGTCCAATCATTCAGCATGCTGAGGTGAGTGAATCTTCATCAGTGCAGACAGAATGTCTGATTAACGTAGCAGGAGGTTAATAAATGTTACTATTGGGTCCAGGGATGAAGTATTTTTACTTTTGTTTGCACATAATGTTTGTGCAATTTTGAGCAAAAAACTCCAAAGTGTTGGTGCAGGTGTGCATGTTCACCATCTGAGATGTGTTTATCGCTGAGCCCCATGACTTCCTTCTGAGAGGCCATCATGGTGTCCAGGAGTGGAAACCATAGATCCTGTGAGGAAAGACAACTGTCAGCTGTAGAGATGTAGCTCCCTAAGTTCCCCGCCACAAACACTCTGCTCACCTTCCTTTGCTCTTGATCAAGGTTCTGACAGTTTCGATGACAGAAAAGAATCATTTGGTTGAGTGAACTCTTCACTGTTGTCAGTGTGAATTCACCATCCGCCTCCTTTTCGTCCCGACCGTCAACTCCTCCTCCAATGCCGCCACTCATCTCTGCAGTGAGGACATCCAGTCTTTCCTTCAGGGTCTTCAAAGGGAAATGAAAACACTCAGCGGCTAACTAACACACCATCCTACTAAATCAAAACCTCCCACCTGAAGCAGCTACTTTCAGAAAAGTGTGAAAAGTGACTTCATGAGTAAAATGATATGATCTGTACCTGCAGCAATCCAGCAAAGGCTCCAGGAATATCTCCCTTCTTCTCCAGCAGATAAGCCTTGGCTTCATTACAGTGGTACTTCTCTGTTATCTGGAGACAAAGTCATGGACATTGAAGAATGATCACATCCCTTCCTGCTTGATGAACAGATAGAGGCAGTATGAAATGGATGGGAAGCATTTCTTTTTGCAGAGAGACTACTGTGAAGTCCAGACTGATGATTGGTCTAGCGCCCCCTACTGGGAGCTAGATACATCAGATACAACAACATCTATCAACCAGCCACATTTAGAGCTTCTTCACAATAAGTGATGCTCTTTTTGCCATGACAACAGGAACCTGAAACGCTCCCGCAGAAATGGGAGTTGAAGCTTCGTCTTATGGGACAGTCTGCCAGGCATTCCCACCAGACCCTCACATTACCTTTGGGCCGGCCAGGTCTTCAGGGTGTTTTTTTCGAGAGGCATTAAAAAGTACCTGTATGGCCTCCTCAAGCCTGTAATGCTGGGAGGTGTGGAGGAACTTCAAAAGCTCCTGCGGTTCAAAGCGGCACATCAGGTCCAGCAAAAGCTCATAAAGTTCAGACTCCAGAGGCAGCCGGGACGCGGACTGAGATCCTTCCCTGAGAGAGACAGTGCAGGGACAAAGAGTCCAAGATCAGGAGGGACAACAGGAGATCTGTGGTTATCAAACACAAGGAGAGGGAAGCAAACCGTACTGAGACTCTAGGAGGCAGCGGAGGAATTGGAAAAGTAGACTGTCGTCCTGCAGAGACACACACAGAGAAGCCTTCTGAAATAAAACACTTTACTATGTACAACTGCTTAATTACATGTTAACACTAATAAATGAATAAGCCATGATTGCAACTCAGTGCCTGTAGGTCACTAGAAGAAGTGAAGATGACCTTCTGAAGTTCAAATTGAGTGTCAGAATAAAGCAGGTGATTGAAGTGAGTGTGAATGCAGCATGGTTGTTGGTAGCAGACTGTTCGGTCTGAGTGTTTCAGATAAAGCTGATCTGCTGGGTTTTCACACAGAACCATCTCTTGGGTTCTAAAAACACTGAACATCCAGTGAGATGCAGCTGGAAGAACGAGGACAGCTGGTTGATGTCAGAGGACATGCAGGTGGCTTTGAGATGAAAACAAAAGCTCCAAAAACTGCTGGTTACAACTGAGATCTGAACATCACCATCTCTGACTGGTGTCACTGTAACTACTTACGAGGTTACATGTACTTGAGTAACATTTTGGAGAAACTGAATTCTCAAAGTATGTTTTTTACTACACAGTACTTTTTTCTTTTACTTGAGCAATATTTTTTATAAAGTATCTCTCCTCTTCCTTGAGTAAAATTTCTTGATCCTCTACCCTCTGCGAGTAAACATCACAGAATGAAAAAGTTTCATAAGTTTTATATTAAAATAAACTAATTTTGATTTTTTTTTTCTTTTTCTGGATTTTGTAATCATGTTATTTACATTAATTATTTTCACTTTGGTCTCTAAAATACAAAAATTTCCACTTTACTTTATATCTTGATGCATTTGTTGATGTTGATCTTAAATATTAAATGATTGATGTTCTGATCAATGACACAGACCTTGAATCACCTTTTTAGAAAACATTTTTTACTCTTTTTTGGAAGACTACTTTTTACTTGCTGTAGTAGTACTATTCTTACTTGAGTACAATTTTCAGTACTCTATCCACTTCTCGTTACTGTAACCATGAGGATTTTACTGCTATTAAGTTGTGGATTCAATTTAAATCTACCTGAAATATATTAGATATTCTCTGCAGCGAAATGTAGATTTGTGTCTGAACTGATGATGATGAGTATTTTACCTGCAGCTCAGAGATGATGGTATGCACCTCCTCTGTGAAGTGCCACACCACCAGGTCAGCTAATTTACCAGGATCCAGGCTCACCAGCTCCTGTTGTATAATACGACAACACACCTGCTGTAGAATGACTGCTGCAAATACAAAACAGGATGAAGCCATAGAACATGTTCGGTCCAGACGATGCATCTCCCTGAGAACGAGCTCCTGGGAGACGCCGTCTCTCCTCGTTACAGTCCGACCAGCAGCCACGGCGCTCCTGACCTGCATGTGCTGCAGCACCTTCTCCTTGACCTTCAGCTTCTCCTCGGAGCTGTAGCCCGGCATGGACATCAGGTTGTGGATGTAGCTGAAGATTTCCGCCTAACACACAAACACAACAGAAACTGATAAATCACTGATTTCAGTTAGTTATTTCATGATTGAAAATAAAAAACAAATATTATTTCAGCAGGAATCCTTTTTGCCTTGCTAGATTATAAATATGATACAATGAGAATCTCATACTTCTATTTCTATTTCAGTACACTTAACTAATAATAATAAATGCTGGTGAAAATGTATGACATATGTGCGATCCAAACACCTCAGTACCTTTCGAAGTGGGTCCTGTAAGTAGCAGTCCACGATCCGGTCATACAGATGCTTTTTCTCATACAGGAACTCACAGATCTGGTAGCTGCAGGGCAGAACACAGACAGCATCATGTAGCAGAAATAACCACTGGTGAGATGGAACATTGGGATGTAATTCTGATTTCTCCACAAGTTAAAGCAGCGCAATGTCACTTTTATAAAAAGATATATTTTTTCACATATTTGTTGAAGCTGTCGTGACAGTCTGGTATGAGACAGATAGTCTCTGAAAACATTGAACTCCTCTGCTTTCTCTCAGTGCTAACTAGAAACAACCAACATATTAGCGCCCTTCTCTAAACATGCTGAAATGATTTTCATGTTTAAACAGCGTTCTTTAGATATGCATCGCCATGTTTGATTAGTTGCTTACAACTTGGCTTTCTCTGCCAGCGTGAAGAGCCGTTCTTCGTTGAACTGGACCACACCCCCGACCTGCAGCAGCTCCAGCAGAACCTAAGCAGAGAAACAAACCATACGCTTTGTTGTTACAGAACTAGCTGTTTATACATCGGACACGGTTCTACGTTGACATGTACCTGCTGCCGTTCAGTATGTCGAGAGTCATCGTCAGGGCAACACAGGAACTCCAGCACCTGAGGAGACAGACGTCCTTCAGACACAGAGGACAGACAGAGACACAAGGAATTCAACACGCTGCCTGCCTTCCATCTCCTGTCACTGCTACAGATGAATGTCTCGGCTTGAGACATTCATCTCATAAAACAGCTGGGACGTTCTCAACCTGAGAGGTGCTTTTGATGCAGAGGGAATATATCTGGTCAGATGATCGTTTCACTTCCGTCTCTCCTATTTCTGACGTTCGGTCTGATTTCTGCTGATGATGTCACTGAGTTGAAATGTCTACGCAGCAAGCTGACAATATAACCTGTCGCCACAAACACTAAAGCTGCAACGCTTCTGAATCCTTAAAAAAGGAAGGCAGTGATTTTATACCTTAATTTCATTTGAATCAAACATTTTATTCCACTGTTTTTTGTTTTTTTGTCTCTGGAGTTTATCTTGAAGGAGTTTTTAAGAACACACCGGTCTGTATTTAATTTATTGCTTAGTTTCTGTCATTTTAGGTCCAGTCTTAATGGGAATGGTGAGGCTTTTTGGTTCACTTCAAGTTTGCACACAAACATAGGAAGTGAACTTAATGTAAAAACAAAAAGCATTTGCTGCTGTCAAAAGTATCGTTTGCAGTAATAAATCTAGCTGCAGATAAATATCTACATACCTGATCAAAAAGGTTCCTGTTCACAAACAGCGTGTTGTTTGGCTTGGCCAGCTGCCGAGCCAGGAAGGTGAAGAGACCGCCGACTTGGGAGGGAGTGAAGTCAGGGTTGTCCACCATTACCTTTCATTAAAACAAATGAGGGGTGTATTAATTAATGCACAGAGAAAAACAAACAATAAAAGTGAAATTAATCATGAAAGATTTTCAGACTCTGGTCATAATCATTATAGGTGTTTCAGAAGTCCTCAGTGGACAAACAGCAGCTGTAAATTGGCTTCCTTTCGCTCTTCATTACAGCAGATTCAAACTGTTAAGACCCGAATCTCACCTGAAGTAAGATGTCCACTATCCTCTGCTGGTACTCCAGGGCCTGCTTGTCGTTCTGGACATCATCAAACGTCTGGAAGACATAAACACATTTCTCCAATCATGAACATATTTTCTTACTTCAGTGAGAATCTTTCCATTTCTGAAAGTAATTTGATTTTATGTTCTAAAACTTAAAAAAGTGGAGAGTGTAAAAATGAGTGGACATTTTGTTGGGTTTCTTCAACGATGAAGAGTATCTTCATCGTTGAAGAAACCCAACAAAATCCTCACGCACAGCCAGTGAGGATTATAGATTATTTTGCTGGCTGAAGTTTTTGCGAATAATAAACAATAAGACTGTTGTTTTAAGGCCATTCTCAAGTCATATAATTCACATGGAATAATAACACAAGCACACATACAGTTAAAATGAATTCATTTGAACATTTAACACGGGAACTAGAAGACATTTTAAATATCCACAATAAATAAACAAAACAACAAATCAAATGACTTATGAAGTCTCTGTAAACAAAGTTGTCATTCAAGAATAGAGCTAGTTGAGACCGAAGCACCAGCCTGAAAACATTTATCATCCAGTTTTTGGTAGAAATAGAGAGAGAAGAGAAAAATGCGAAATCATGCAAATAGAAATGATTGATATTTGAATTTATCATGTGATTAATTGAGTTATTGCTTTTTGCGACAGCCATATAAGAGAATATATTTGAAACACTTAGCGTCCTAGATGTACCTGAACGCAGCATGACCTCGTGTTGGGAAAATCCCTTCTCATCAACGAAGATTCCTGTGTCTTGCATAATTATAAATATAAACATACAGAGTTTAGTCTGACTTCATGCTCCAGGTAAGGTAGTTTACATTCAGACTGGCATTGTTTCAGATGAGTAATTTAGTATAACCTCTGTGGCTTATTGTGGTTAAAAATGTGTTATCTGGCATAAAGTTTTATATGTCCAGTTATATGTTTTATATTTGGGTCCAGATGTAAAACAACTCTTTATTAATTCACTGGAAACTAACTGGAGATTTTTGTGTCAGTTTATATACTCAGACCAATCTGAAATCGGCCAAACTTTGAATAAAAACCTAAAAAATAAGAACACAGTATAGCCAACAGCTTGTTAATGATAGTTGAGAGACAGTCAGAGAGACATCTCACCATGGCAAGAACATTGAGGAACTCCCGAGTGTCAAAGTGGAGGAGTGTGTGAATGAACGGGAAGACTTCCTCCTTCTGCGAGGAGTCGCCTGAATGGAGACGGATCAGGAACTCAAACACCTGATCAGACACAAGCAGGCACACAAAAACAAGCAAATGTCAAACAAACCGCCTGCTTTCAATAACTCCAGCTACATGATAAGATCGTAGAGTGAAGTTGTTCCACGTCGACATGCACAACGAAATGAGCTTAACACACTGTTTTTGTTGAAAGGCAGATTCCTGCAGGGATCAAAAGATTGCTTTCAATCGATTTAAATACATTTCTGAAAACCAGTAAAATAAAAATCAACATCACTTTATACCATGAACTGTTCTCACAGCGTACTGAACGTTTGATCATACCTGGTATTTGACCTGAACAACCAGGTCTTCAGGGATGTCTCCGATCGGATAGGCTCTACCAGCAAGACAGCAGCTTCATCCACACACACACGCACGCACGCACGCACGCACACACACGCACACACACACACACAGACACACACACACACAGATGTTCACTGATCAGAGCACTGTGACGCAATTTCATTCTGATTTTATTATGCAGTGGTATTTCAACAAGCAGTTTTAAAAGCTAAAAGTAGAGATGCCCTGATTTGACAATGTGCCAATCCATAAGGGCAGATCAATACAGTCTTATTCTGTGCTTTGTGCTCAGAATTGCTTTATTATTCATTTTACATTATATTTATAATTCCTAAATGTAATTAAAAAAAAGGTTTGTTGCAGTTTATCTACATGTTTGACCAAAATAGTCAATCTATTGGTTTTGTCACTTTCAGTTCCTTCATTATTTATTTCACCTTGGCTGTTATACTCCTATTGTGCTGACTCAACAAATTAAATTTTTTGTTTTTGTATGTTTGACCAAGTTTGCGAAGCTGTTGGTGGATTTAAGTCTGGTGCAGAGTTATCAAATACATTGGTAATTCGGTACATTTATGTATGTGTTTCAAAAAAAGAAACATTTTAAGTCAATCCAGCTGTTTTTCTATATCAGATCAATGTCAGACAATACTAAAACCTCAGAAGAGGGTCAGTGCATCCACAGCTAAAAGACTCCACTGAACTTTTAGCTAGATTTATTCTGATGTTTCCAGGCTAATTGGTTATTCAGTTAGTAAAAACCACACAAAAAAGCCCCAATGGAACAAATACAAAAAAACTGTAGTCACTATATTCTATGCATTTTTGGAAGTACAGAGACAGGCCAAGCCTCTAATACACTTTTGACACACGGGGTAATAACCACATCAGGAGGATTTACCTTATGTAAACTAGTAATTTATTTCCCATCACCACATCATCACCTAAAAAAAAGGAAACACGTAAAAAAAAAATAATAATAATTAAATATGTTTTGTGGCAAAATACTGACAGAGAAGAGAAAGAAAAGAACAGAAAAGAGAGGAAGAGAAGAAAAAGAGGAAAGAAGAGAAAAAAATAGGAGAGAAAAGAAAAGAAGAAAAAGGTGAGCTCCAGTGTGGTTGTGGTGCATGGTGTCACCTGTTAGGCTCCGCCCCTCTCTGACTCTAGGACCAATCACTGAAAAGAGTTTCTGAAATAATAAAGGACACAGTTCAGGAGGGCTCTTGGTCCGTTATATCAGAGCACACAGAATGCAGCGTGGATCTACTTCAGTATCAAAAATTTTCTCAATTAAATGCATGATGAAAAAACTGACAAAGTAATAAAAAAAACATATTATCTAAAAGAAACACTGAAACATTGGAAAGTTGAACAGCAATTTGTACCAATCTGATGACTGAAGAACCTGAATAATCCTCAAGCTCCAGTTCAGTCAGTCACAAAAACACGCCATTTGTGTGGAACTTGCCTCCATTGGAGTAATGTAGTCATTCATGCCTCGGTTGAAAATATAGATCACTGCATCATAGAGCTGGTTGTTCCAACACACCTGGACCACCTTTACTCATCAAGCCACACAGACGAGCAGAGACAACATGTCCAGACATTGGTACTTCATACTGGTTGTATTCTATGTACACGATTCATTGTACATCTACACACCTGTTGTATGTCCAGACTGGTAACATCCAGATGGACAATGCATCTCTCCAGGCTGTCCATCATACCGTTGTCATGGTAATGTGCCAGGAGGTCCTTCATAACAGGCGTAGTGATGTGACCAAGACGATTGGCGACGATGTACGACTCCAGTGACTCCAGGAAGACGCCCTTAGCAACCATGTTCTCCACCAGCCGAGAGTACAGCTGGTTGAACAGCAGGTCACTGTGAAACAAGGAGCTTCAACACTGACCACTTCATGGAGGTTGGAAAATAAACCACCAGATACTGTCAGCCTCTTTGTCACAACCTTAAAATGTCAATTGTGTGGACTGCCTTATTGTGTTAGCTCTGGTCTTTGCCCTTTTTCTGACACCAAATGTGTTGTGAACATAACAGACTTCAAGCACTTTGAACTACCCTGCTGCTGAAAATGTGCTATATAAATAAGCACATTACCAACCTACCTTATGCTTTTTTGTTTCACTGTCACACTTGAATATCAGATCATCAGAGAAAATTAAGTATCCAACAGAAATAACCCAAGTGAGTACTAAATGCAGTTTCTAAAAAAAGACACCCAACATCTAATCAAAGTTCAGGATTCAGCACTAAGAACAAAAACAAAAACAAAAAAAACAAACACAAAGGCCCGACTCACATTTACCAAAAAAGAAAACATCTGGATGATCCCAGAGACTGCTGGGAAAATATTCAACAAGTGCAACTGTTTGGAAGGTGTGTGTTCTGTTAAATTTGGAGTAAAACTAACACAGCACTAAAAAGAAACATAGCGACAGTCAGACATGGTGGTGGTAGTGTGATGGTTTCATGAATTCTACTTTCTGGTAAAAAATCTGAAGAAGAATGTTATTTTCTTGATCTCAAACACATTTAGTGAATGAAACAGGGCAATAATCCAAAGGATATAAAGTTAACCTCTGACTGTTTTTAAATGACAGGTTTGAAGTAGCCTCGTCAAAATCTTAACATAAATACAATTGAGATGTTGTAGAGTGACCTCAAACAGAAGGTAATTACTAACTCAGATACGGCCATGTTAGTTTGGATAGATTTTTATGACTTGATGAAATCTGCTGGTTGATAGGTAGGATCAATTGGAAGGTTTGTGATTCTAGTCATGGTCAGGCTTTGTCCTGTCTTTAGAAGGTCAGCGTTATTAACCCAATCAGACACAGCATGAATACACACAAGTACTCACGCCTTCTGCAGCAGGAGGCAATAATCCACCAGCACTGGCACCACTTCCTGATCCAGGCACAGAGATAAACAGGGAACATTAATTTCATTCACAACAATCAAGTCAATCTACTGACATTCCAAGTTTTAGACCAATCCCTTCTGCTCATGCCAGACACAGTCAGCTGAGCTCAAGTAAGTAAAGTGATCATGTGTTCATCAACACCGCAAGGGGATGCAAAGCCTTTACAGGCTGTTCTCTCACTAATTTTGTTTGCAGAATGGCGATTTTCAAATGGCAAATGTTATTCTGTTTTTTTATATATTTCTATGTATTTGACACAGTTGGAAAGCTTTGAAGCCAGACTTTCAGAAACAGTAAATAACTCAGAATGCCCCCAAAAGGTCTTATTCTTAGGGCAGCGTCTTGCACAGCCTCCAGTTCAGCCTGCTGCACTTTTCATCTATCATGGCTTAGTTTACCACCTGTCTTGACGACTGCAGCTACATGTTCATTATTCCATTCATTTGACTGAAACAGAAGGAAACTATTGTATTTCATTTGTCCGTTGCACGGTAAATATGAATCCTGTTTTTTTTTTTTTAAATGTACAGTTTTAGGAAAACCCTATTAAGGTTTTACACCAAGCTCACCATGGGATACATTTGTCTTATTTTTATCTCATTGAAAACTGATGATCTTATTGAGAACAAAATTGCTTCAATATTTCTAGTAGGTATTGTCCAGCAGCTGAAGTTTGGTCATTTTCTCTCGTCAGTCAGCCAGACACCTTCATGAAATGGATCACTAATGTCAATTTGGTATTATAACTTACCTTATCACACTGAAATAAATAGTTGAGTACATTAACAACATACTGGCTAATGTTGAAACTGCAAGATAAATGGGGTTGACCATGGCAACCAGTGACAGAATAATTTCAGTAGTCACGTTATCCATCTTGTTTACAAACAAACATTCCCTCCATACAATTAAAAACATAAGTAAATGTCGTCATCAGAGGTCCCACAGTCAGCCAGTCTTACTGATTATTCTCACAGTTAAACAGATTAAAAGGTCAAATAAGCCAACGTGTTTCCATTACCTGGAAATGCTGCTCCATGACCTGCAGCTTGCCCTGTTCTGGGCATTTCTTCACAGCGTACTCTGTAAAATGGAGAAGAATCTCCACCATCTACAAAGACAAGGTGTTTCAAGTTTGAAAAACAAAAAAAACCCCAGCAGATTTTACAAAGTGTGTAAGACACTCACCTTGTCGCTGATAACCGCCTTCCTTTTCTGTGAATCTCCATGCAGGCCTTAAATAAAGACACAGAAAGACAAAAAATCCCAGCTGTTCTCTCAATATGTGATCAAACGATATTTAAAAATAGTTCATATTAACACTAATTATGACCACACCCACCAACCACAGCCTTGGCGGTGCCTTCATGGAAGGACCAGGCCAGAGACAGAGCCTCAGTGAAACGCTCCTGCTTCAGCAAACAGTCCAGACGCTGGAAACAGAGAACATGGGGCTTCTGGGTAACCATGGAGACCAACAGGAAACACACTGACGATGCGGCTGTATGCGGATGACATTGAACTGCTTCCACAAAATTTTGTCATATTTACATCCTAATACTTCTATTCTTATGTACTTCTGTGATTCAAAGCACCTTTGGCTTCATTAAATCATTTGTAAAATGATCTTCATATGCCTATAAGCAGCAATACTGCCTTTATCATAGCAACTTTATACCCTGATGAGCTCATCCTCACGTATAACCTCAATGGCTGAGATCGATTATTTCCCACCTTAAAGTTAGAGCCATGTTCTGACTGTTGCCATAACATTTGAGGGTTTTATGCAGACATGTGACATTCGCATTCATAAAGATGAAACATGATGCATACCTCTTTCCAGTTCCTTAGGGACATAATATGAGCTGACTGCAAAACAAACAAAGCAAAGCACACACTGTTAAACAACAGGATCAAGTAATATTGTGCAGATAACATTCATATGGTTGGCAATGATCAGAATTTTTTTTTTAAATAGCAACAATAATAATAAATGTTCCTGTGTTTGTAGAACTGTTGCTTGAAAAAAATATACTGGATTTCTAGACTTGGCCATGTGACTTTTTACTACCCAACAAAACACACCCATAAACACAACTCCAATAAAACACAGCAGAGTTTGTGTTTGTAACGTGACAAAGTTACAAAGAGGACTGAATATTTTGCACAAACTTGAGAGAGTGTGAAGCAAGATGTGATTACTGAGCGTTACTTTAACATCTGCTATGTCTGAGGCAACGTTTTTGTTTTGTTCTGCATTAAACTGAAATTTGTTCTGTATTGAACAGTGATGGACGAACAGAGACAGACGAAAGCTAACAGCTACCTTGGTGCCCAGGCAGACGATCTGTCCTGCATAGCTTGACAGTGACTGGTAGCAGGCCTTTTCTCCAACCAGCGCCTAAAACATAAACACACAAGATTTAACAACATAAACAGCAGATCTGATCGGCTCAGCTGGTGTCTTAGGATGACCACACGTTTAATAAATCACCATAAAGCTGATCGCCAGTGCAAAGCAGGGTTTGTCATTTCAGAATTTTTAACTTTCATGCTGCAATATCAAATATTTCCAGCATATTTAGAATTTTGGAACATTAAGCATGCTGAAGTTAACTTCAGACTCTTTAACACACTTGGAACCAAATCAAACTCTAATACATGGCATTGTTCTGTATTCTTTAAATCACATGTGTCAAACTCAAGTCCAGGGGCCAAATATGGCACTTCCATAGCTTTGTATGTGGCCCTCTATACCCTAGATGCCAAATTCCATAAATCAGTACCAGTTTTTGGTAAGTCCAGGATTGCAAATTTTTTATTTTTATTTTATTTTTTGCACCATTGAATAATTCTTCATTTCTTGTAAATTTTCCACAGAAATGGTCAAAAACATTGAGCTTAAGTGATGCTAACTCCCACCTGCAGGTGGCAGTATTTCTTACTTTTACACCGCTGCTACCTCACTTCTTATTTGTTGTCAAGTTAACATCCATTATAAAAAGTTGCATTTAATGTCATAAGTAAGTGAAAATACTTCTAAACTAATACCACAAAATGAGTAACTTTCAAAGCAAAATAAAAGCCTGTTCCCTTTACAGACGCTGTCTGTCTCACCAGAGCCTGGGAGACATTCCCTCCGGTTGCCAGGGACTTGAAGTGCCGGCTGTTGTAGACCAGCTGCACCTGCTCCAGGTCCAGCGTCTCCAGGACATCCTGAGTGGGCCGGTCCACCACGTGCAGCTTCTCATGGCTGTCCAGCAGCACCAGGCTGCAGCTGTTAATCCACTGCAGATACAGCAACATCAGCACACAGACCCCATCATGTTTTCCCTGCTGCCTGTAATAATTGTTACTTGCGACCGATTATCGCAAGTGCAGAAATTGTAAGTGCAGAAATTGTAACATTTCGAGCTAAAATTTCTAAATTAGCACCACAAAATCACCAAAACAGTGTGAAATCCTGGAGAGACTGATCGATGTGAAAAACTGTTCAATATTATTTTTATTAGAACTTATCAAATGAGGAGAGGGATTTAACAGTTTTTCGGTTTTATCATTCTGAGAACATTGGTGGTCTTAATGAGGCCCAACATAAAAACCAGTTTAACGCCCTGATCCAGAACGGTGCTCGTCTTTTCTGCTCCTGGGTTTTTTGGCTGAGCTGAGGCCAGAACTTACGTTCAGGCTGATGATGTCACAGCTCAGCTGCAGCTGCCTCTGCTTGATCACATGGATGGTGCCCGTCTCCTCCTTCTTCACCTGGATAAATCAGACCAGTTTCACAAACAGAGACCACCAAAAGAGAGCAGTTGAGACAATGGTTGGCTTATGGAAGGTATTTGGACTAGGACTAAAAGATGTATCTGGGTTCTGAAGGTTTACTGGCAAATCTCATCAAATAATTAACAGCTGGGACTGTAAATTGAGATTAGAGTCAGATGATAGGAAGGTATGAAGCTGAGCAGATACCAGCAGGAAGTGGACTGAGTCTCCTTTACAAAAGGCCAGCATGGGGTTGACCGTCTTCTGGACAGGAACAAACTGCCAGGCCAGCTGGGGCACACTGCTGGGATCAGACTGAGGAGAGACGATATCAACAACAGAACACACAAACTTTTAATGTTCAAGTCGCAGAATTAGAACTAGAATTTCCTCCCAGTAGCTAAAATGTAATTCACATTGTGACAGGTAATGTACTCAGGTTATGTAAGTCTGATCTAAAACACTGAAGTGGGACAAAAAGGAGAGATGATTCCATGCTAACAGACTAGTAGGAAGTTAAGAAAATCAGACCTTGATGTAGGGAAGAGTCATCCACACATTCAGGCTGGGCTTGAGTCCAATGATCAGAATCTGATTGGAAGAAATCAAAAAGTAAAAACATCAGTAGTTCTAACTTACACATGTGTATTTCTGTCTTCACAGGAACTTTGAATTTACTTCCATTAATTTTTTTTATCAATTTCTATAGCATAACCCTGATTGTAATTCTAAGTCTAACCAGTATCAACTCAATTTACACCTCAGTTCTCAACCTGACCTCTAACCCTAACCTTAACCAAAACTTAATTCACAGCTTACCTCTAAATCTAACCCCTCACCTTAAGTAAGGGGTTTAACAGTAATAGGACCAGGCTTTTGTTCCCATAAGTCTACTGGTTTTCAAAAGGTATGTAAATATGATATGTAAAGAATGAACAGCTAAACATTAACACATATACATGCACACCCACATGCAAACCACCCCCCAAACACACACACACACAAAGACTGATCATCTCTTGGATTGCTTCAACTGAAGCAACTTCTTCTGAACAACCAGAGGAAAGATAATGAAAAACCAGACAATAACTGTGTTATAACTGTATCTTTGATATTAAATCTATATATTTTCTCTGATTGTGGTTTCCCTACAGCTCAAATGTCCTCAGTCAAAGTGTGACGGATACACAGACAGCATCTACTTCCTGGATCAACAGAAAGTCTGCTCTCTCTCAGTAGAGGGAGATAACTTCATCTTGATGTTTTTACCCATAAAGATGAAAACAATCAGGGGTTAAAAACCCCTTTAACTCCAACCATAATGACCCACCTGGGTCTGGAGATAATCTCATCTAGGTCTGGACCCATGTTCTATTATCTGATACATGAAGCATCTCTGCAGTTGTTAACGGCAGCATTTTTCTCCTGGCTTCTGGCCTGCTGTTGTTCTGTTTCTTTCTGTGCACTGGGATCACTGGGAGTCCGTACCTTGGTCAGGGAAGCCATAGCTAGGAGAGAGTAGCATGTGATGGGGTGGTCTCTGAAGTCTGGAGGAGTCCGCAGAGGTTCTATACAGCACACCTCTCCTTTAGAGCCGCTGAAGAGACACCGTGAGTCACATGAGCGCATCCCCATCACCCTCCTGGAAGAAAAAGCAACAATATTTCTGGTCATTTATCATATTGTTTATCAATTATTGAGATAAATTTACTACAATGATAAGAATTTTGATTTATCGCTGTCACAATAAATTTCAATTAATTATGCAGCAGGAATCACATTACAGCAGACTAGGCTCCTCCTGTTTGGTATTTTAATCCCACTGGGCCAAAAAGGTTTTGCTTCAACAAACAGTTCATTAGAGTGCTGTTTGAAATATTCTCTAATTTGTTAATCCTGCATCACTTTAAAAAGGTTGATGGAAAATGTGAGAAAGCCTCTCTACAAACTGCAGGTTTTTCTGGACAGAAACTATTTGGTTCCAGATTCACTCCGTTTACCTGAAGGTCAGCTCAAACACAGACCCTCCACTGTCGTTGCACACGGCCAGAGTTGGGTCATCTGTGAACTAAAGAAGGGGGGAGAAGTTATCTGACGATCATCCAGGTATAGATCCATATGGTCACTGTGTGTCTGAGAAACAATCATCACATTTATTCCAAAACATTTAGCCTGACTCGCCTCCTTCAACAATCCTCATGCTCTCCTTTCATATTGAAAATTATCTGTAAAACTTATACCAAACTGTAACTTCACAAGATGTTTAACATTCCTCATTTAAGCTTTTTTGTTATGATTTGTTGGGAGTTCTTATACAATTACGACTTTATTCTGGTTCCATTGTGACTTTATTCATGTATTATTTGGACTCTATTGCTATATGACTATTTTCATGTATTATTATGACTTTATTCTCATAATTAAAAAAAAATCTTAGCCTGGCTGTAACACTTTGTCATAGAGATGATTTGAATTTAAAATCCAAATGAATAGAAGCTGTAAAACAAGGATGTTCGTCAAACAAGATGGCCGCCCCGGGCTTGCTGACATCACTCTGAACTATGGAGACCCCAGGAGAGCATTGGTGAAATTTTCCAAAAAGGAAATCTTCAAAAACCAAAAGTTTGATGAATCCATGAAGTCGATTCATTGCCCACCTCTACATTAGGGTAGTTGATAAATCTACAAAGAAATACTCATATCTAGACTTTTGAATAATAAAAAAATGATTAGTGAGCAGGACTTTTACTGTATAATTGAGCTCATCTGCATTGTGCATGGTGGGAACCAATCCTCAGAGGAACTTCAGAGGATGTTTTTTCTTCAGACTTCAGCCAGTAAACATTCAGAAGGTTCTGCAGAGCGGCTCTCACCTTCACGTGCAGTATGGCCGTCCCTGGAGGATGGGCATCTGTGATGGTCCTCAGAAGCTTTCCGTTGGCAAGATCCCACATTGTAATCTGACAATGAACAACAGTTAGGATACAAAGAACCAGGAACAGTTCTATGAAACCATTTGCACACAGCTGACCAGATCTGAAAAGAAACTGGATTCAGTGAGCTTCAGCATGAATGTGATGGAAGTGAACTGGATAACAGCTGGTCCAACTTCAAAAACCTTTAGGAAAACTTCTGCACAGCTATATGAAATTGGGTTCTGTTCAATTTCTTCTTCTGCTTTGCTGAATCTAATTTCTATGCCACTATACTAGGGAACGTTGTCATTTCTTCTTGAAATTAAGCCTCACTCTGTTGTTCTCCATTGTAGACTGAATCTGGACAGAGATCAAACTGCACATAAACTGATTTTCCTTCAAGAAGCCACAAATGTTCAACGTACCTGACCCTTGGCAAAGCCACACAGCAGACGTGAGCAGTCGTGGTTGATGCTAAGAGCCGAGATGGCGCCAAACTCCGCTCCGGTTGTCTTGCTGCCGAGACAGAGCCGCAGAGCCTGGTTGGTGTCTGGGGAAGAAGGTTAAGAGAATGTTTACTGGCTTTAACCCATAAAACGTTTATCATGACATCGTAAATACATCTTTCACCCAAGAGCAGCTTAACAGCATCAAACGGCCGAGTAACACCACATGAGATGGGCACAGAGGGAGGAACAGAAAAAAATAAAGCTCCAAGTGGAAAACAAGAGATGCATGCAACAGGCTACCGTGAACAAACCAAAGGCATTATGGGACAGGATGCTTCCAGCAAGCAGAAAAACAAACCGCAATAAGCATGATAATCAAACAGGCATGGCCGTACCTTTTCCTGCTCAGGCCGTCATTATGTCAGCAACATAAAGAAACATTAGTCAGCATCAACTCAATCACTACGATGTCTGGTGCCTTTTGTAAAGTTACACAGTAAAAAAATTAACAGCAATGATTTGGTTTAATTAGCCAGGCATCAAGAAAAAAATTTCAATTTTAACCATGTCACTCATACATTTATAAATGCTAGAGTTCCAAACTGGATTTTTAATTCACAAGCTAAATATTTAGTCAGAAAACTAAATATTTAGTTTTTAAAGTAAATATCTTGCTAATTAAGTATTTTCTATTTAATTTAGGACTAAATATAATATAAAGTAAATATTTGTTTGAAAACTAAATATTGTAGTTAGCTGATGTATGAAATATTTATTTTGGGACTCTGACATTTCTAAATGTATGTATGATATGGTGAAAATATGACTGAAACTTTAACACCCACATGTTTTCTATATGATTATTGATGTCAATTTCATTTTTTACTGTCCAACTTTACAAACATTAGCCATGGCACTATCTGTGAAAGCAGGCCTATTTTACAGCAAATTTCACACTTTACTAAAATCTTTCAATGTCTTCATCTTGACTAATTTGTCAACAAAAGAAACAGAACATGTGCACAAAAGAGCATTTTACTACAGTAATTTCAGCACAGTACTAAAAATGCATATTTAGTCACTGTAGAAGTTTTATCCGAAACAACATTATACTACGATAGATAGATAGATAGATAGATAGATAGATAGATAGATAGATAGATAGATAGATAGATAGATAGATAGATAGATAGATAGATAGATAGATAGATAGATAGATAGATAGATAGATAGATAGATAGATAGATAGATAGATAGATAGATAGATAGATAGATAGATAGATAGATAGATAGATAGATAGATAGATAGATAGATAGATAGATAGATAGATAGATAGATAGATAGATAGATAGATAGATAGATAGATAGATAGATGATAGATAGATAGATAGATAGATAGATAGATAGATAGATAGATAGATAGATAGATAGATAGATAGATAGATAGATAGATAGATAGATAGATAGATAGATAGATAGATAGATAGATAGATAGATAGATAGATAGATAGATAGATAGATAGATAGATAGATAGATAGATAGATAGATAGATAGATAGATAGATAGATAGATAGATAGATAGATAGATAGATAGATAGATAGATAGATAGATAGTTAATATGTCCAACATTCAATGTTTTTTTACGAAGGGGAGTATGAATGCCATCTTCCGCTTTTCTGATCATAGGTGGGAAGTATGAGTCTTATAAAATCTAGTCAGAATAAACACTCTAATAGGGATGTTAAGGTCCACTGGCCCAACCCTTCATATTCTTATTAAGTAGTAAGTTTGTTTGTAATAGAGTTGGAAATTATAGAACTGAGATAATTCTGTTACGAGCGACAAGAGTGCAAATAAGAAGCAGCAAAATAAAGACTACATTTGGTTACAGTAAAAGTGGAAACACTCATGTCTGATATTTATTTGTACGCCTGAAACAAAGTTATAAATTATTTACAGAGTCAATATTCCTTAATGTCATTTGAAGCAAACTATGAAGGGATAACACATTGACTCACCAAACACCAGGGCAAGACCATGAGATGTTCCTACGGCAATAACACCGGACATGGCCTGAGCAAGGGTCAACAAATACACCGATTTCAGTAGGAATCAGACATTCTGACGACAACAGATGGTTAATACATATAAAAAATTTGATTGAAATATCAAATTCTTCTGGAAATAATTGAACACATCTGAACACTCTGAACTTTAGTATGTTCTGTAAACTAGCAGCATTGGTTGCAATACAAAACAATCAATCGATACTCACTATTGCAGTAGGCAGCCCAGCATCCACTTTGTCCTATTGAGAGACACAAAAAATTTTCTTGTCATGGCCAAATGAATACCAGGAATCCTTCGTGGTGGTGTGTTAAATTAATGACTCCGGATGTTTGCAAAACTGTTCCTTACAGCAGCAGCAACTATCTGAGCGGAGATGCCCTTCAGCAAGCTGAGGCGAAGAACCGAGCCGTGAACTGCTGCGTTCTGTTCCAGAGTCCTTCTCTTCCTACAGTCGGTCACGTCGTCACACAGAACAAATGGAGATGGAGAAAAAATATAAATAAACTTATACATGCAGAACTCTGAGGCTGGAAACATCAACATGAATGGGAAAGGTTGATTTTCTGGACATCTTTAAGTCATTTACAATTTATGAACTGCTTGGCTTTATTCAGCACTCCAGTGCCTCTCCATACCTGACGAAGAATCATTTTAATGTGTGTTATTTTAAGTCTCTTATCTGCTTGTAACTGATTAAAACGTTTTAAAAGTAGTTTCTGTTATTTGAATTGTTCCATGTCTTCAAACTTCTAACTTCTTTTTTTTATTTAATCATAATCTTATTTTATCGAGCAACAACTTCAGTTTATTTGTAATAGTCGCCATTTCATCCAATAAATGATGCAGATCATCAGCCAGACGGAAAACAGCTTCATCTGTGAATGTGGCCAATGTCCAGTGGTTCAAAATTAAAGAAAAAAATCATTTACAAAACAAATACTATAAAATTTGATTGTTTTCTTGTTTGAGTTTGTCTACTGAATTCCATCATGTTTTAGAAAACATACAGAAATAATTCTTCTACTTTCAATCAACAAGATGCAATTACTTGCCTATGTGCTAAGCAATCTATTGTGCTGAATGGAATCATCCCAGTAATACTGATGACAACGTTAAATGTACTTATGTTCACCACAGGTGGTAGAAGTTTCACAAAGTTTTCAGAGTGTGTGTGTTCTTGCCGTTTGAGGTGTGCCGGGTCTCCGCTGTCCGAGCTGGCCAAGGAGGACGTGTCGTAGGACTGAGCGTCCATGTTGTCCGTGTTTAAAAGGCAGGTGTCCTCCAGAACAAAAGGGTCCTCCTCTTCCTCCATCTGTGGCACACAAACCCACGTCACACACAGGAAAGCTCAAATTCAACAAGTGCACATCTGACCTTAACTCAGAAACACATGGCTCCTCTATTAACACTTTAATAGAGTTTTTACCAGCACTGCACTGAGATGTACCTTGAATAATAAGCTAAAATCTGATGTTTGGTAAATGCTGAAGGTTAATCTGTAGGAGTAGAGTGGGGGAGTTGTGGGGAAGAGCTGCTCTGTGAGGTGTAATCTCAGAAGCTTGGAAACTGCAGCTCAGTGGTGGAGTTACATCTAGAAGTCGGAGTCATGTCCAACCAGGTGTTTTACACAGCTCAGTAGTTGCCACAGAGACTAAAGGACTTCTCACACATGCATAAAAAACATCACAGCAACACTCTGGGTGAGGGAGTAACATTACAACATGATGTAAAGCTAAAAAAAAGTCAATTTCACATAATACTGTCCCTTAAAATGTTTCTGAAAGCAGACGGAGGAAAGATTTGTGGCTGACCTGATTCAGAATGCTCTCCAGTGTGGGAGGGGTGTCCACTTGGGGAATGTCAAACTCCTTATCGTCAATCTATGAAAAGATATTCAACATGCAAAAACAAAAATAGGGGATCAGGAATCAGTTTTTCTGCTGTAAAGAACATACAACACCAAAATATATTGAAATATCTGATATGAAACATGGAAGTTTTGAACTCTCCCACAGTTCCTCATATTACAGGGCATGTATTGTATTGGGGAGGTGTGATAGGCCAGCAGACAGTTAGATGTTGAGTGGAAGAAAAAACAACACATTTTTCTATAAATAAGAAAGCGTGTCTGCGAGCAGCAGGTTTCAGGTTTTTCATAGAATTTTGGTCTGAACTTTTACTTGGCCATCCTGGCACATTAACACACTTTGATCCAAAACGACCCATAATATCTCTGGCTGTTGGTCAGGGCAGCTGGAAGCTGAACCTCTACAGTCTCAGGGCTCCGTCAATTTTTAACAGGTTTTCCTCCAGGACTGTTCTAGATTTAGTTATATCCACACCCTGTCCCACAGCATGATGCTGCCACCACGATGGTCCACCGTGATGTGTGGTATTAGTTTGTTCTAACGCCGGTATCTCATCCCAACTCCTTGCAAGTTAAATTATTGCATTATTTGTGCTTCTGTTTTGTTTGGACCCAATTCTATCCAAAATGGAACATAAAATCTTTTTGGTCCCTGACTGTGTGCTATTTTTTTCCTTCAGTTTATGGATCCAAAAGACTAAAATGGGACGAAAGAAGGAAATATTTGTTCCAACTTTCTGCGTTCACTGAAGCTTCGGAGCTTCAATATTACCTTAATATTATTATATATTCCACATGGCTGAGCTGTATAGCGGTTCATTTTCTAGGACTGTTCAATATAATCAATATGTAAAGTCAATATAATCAAACATCAGACCGGTTTATTGTTTGATTCTCTTCTATCAAACACCACGTAGAGAAATAAATGACATTCTTGGGGTTCTGTGTTCCTAATTAAAGCGGACATGAAGAAATTCCCTCACCGACTCTACTTCCATCAGGTTGAGCTGGGAAGAAGCGGATAAAAGGCTCCTGCTGTCTGGAGACTGCGACATTTCTCTGTTTACATTCACAGACGAGCATCCAGGAAGTGCTCTGTGAGCATCTTCTTCTTCTACGGCACAGGATACTGTTGATTCTGTTCGGGCTGCGCGCATGACAAACTCATTTACTGGTACATTACCGCCACCTAGTGGATTGGTCAGAGTCACACTTTTCGGAAAGTAAAGAATCAGTCTTCTTTTAGGATCGCGAACCAGAACATTTTTTCCATTTCATGTATAGAGAAGATTCTTGGAAATTACGCTCCACTTTCACGCCCTGCAAAACTTCTTAATCTATTCTCTCTTTCAGTTTGACATTGACTTTGTCAATGTCAAAGAGGCTCAGGGTCTATGCCATGGTGTGGCAAAAGTAACAGAGGTGGATAGACCACCCAAAACTAGAACTGCTTCAACATATTTCTACTCAAGTCAAAGTAAAAAGTAATCTTTCAAAAAAAAAAAAAAGTAAAAAGTGTCTGCTGAAAAGGCGACTCAAGGACTGAGTTACTGATTAGCACATCAATCATATAATATTTAAAAATTACATCAGATGAATCAAGAAGACATAGAGCCATGTGGAAATTTTGGTATTTTAAAGACCAAAATGACAACAATTAGTATAAATAAAATAATGACAAAATCAGGCAAAAGAAAAAAAACCCAGTCTAAATCAATTGTTTTCATAAAATGTATGAAACTTTAACAAGAACTGCTAACTTGTCAAGTCAAGTTTCAACAACAAGACAGTTCGAAGTGCTTTACCTCATAAAAACATGACAGTATCCAGTTATTTTTATATTTTTTATCAAATACCTTCATTATGCACATATGATTCTGGTTCTGATGTTGCTGAGTCTACCAAAACCAGAAGACCTGAGTGTTCAGCAAGGTTGATGCGACAACAACATAGTTGCCATGAGTAGCAAGATAATCTGACACCGACTAAATGAAACTGGAGCGGATCAGTACTCGGAAGAGTGATTACTGGATGTGAAACAGGTTGATTAACTCTATAGCTGAGAAGGAAACCAATGAGAAGTTAAAGAAACAAAAACCTCAGGAAACATGAAAGTTTCCTGAGGTCAAAGCAGCAGCCTGGCTGCTTATGTGCATTCAAGCCCTATGTGCTGACTAAACCCCTGTACTTTGCAGCATGAAGCAGCTATTGCTGTATTTGTTCATTTGAAATGAATAAATTAAAAAAGGCAAAAATAAATACATCTCTAAGTGAGAGTGTTTTTTTGTCCCATCCTTTGCCACACATAAAAAAAAGAAAAGAAAGAAAAAGATTACAGACACACTCAATAAATCAGAATTTTATTGAAAAGTCCATTCATTTCTGGAAGTATCACTAAACATAAAATACATTAATTACACCAAGGTGGTTGTTTGAAGGCCTTTGTTTCTGCTAATTATTAAGTTCAGAATATTCTATTAGACTAATAAAAACTACTTTTAAAAACAGAAATGTGGGTTTTGTAAAAGTAAATAAATAAAATAAAACATGGGGATGTGGAGCGAGGGTTAATAACTGATTAAAGGTTATTTCCAAAAGGTCTTTTTAATCTGGAGAACGAGACTCATCTGGACTTCCAATGTATTGAATACTAGTGTAGACTTATTCAATACGTCTACAGTCATATAAAGATCTGGATTTCTGCAACACGACATATTAATGTTTAGTTCTTGTGCATCTGTGTCTACGTCCAAGCAAGTAGTTAGAAATAACCAAGGTTGAATTTGAACTCTCTGGGAATGCTAGGAAGAAAGAAAAGTGGGACCGAAGGGGGCGAGGAAAGGAGACAAGGACGCCCCTCCGCTGGTTTGGACCGCAGCCTGCTCCATTCCTTCCAATCCGTTCACCTCCATTCACAGTAAATAGAAGCATGGAGGCTTGACTCTCGGGATCTAACGTCGAACAGCGGGGGGTAAAGACGCTGCCGCATGCGCTGTGGGTGAAACTACACCGCCGGGAGAAAACAGGAGCGCAATAAGCGCATTGTCATTTATAATTTAGTCATTTTAGGAAAAAGGAGGAGTGTATTTGGGGAGCGGAGCGGAGCATGAAGCGGATGGCCGTGGTGGCCAGGCACAATGGCCTCGTCTCTCCTTTGGGGAACAACAACTCCGGGGCTTCGAGCATCGTCTCCCCACCCCAAGCGAAAGCCACGAATGTCTCCGCCTGTGCTGACACTCCAATCGGAGGTGGGATGGACGGCCTGCTGGATTTCTCCAAAGGCCCCACCGTGAAAACCGAGCTGGTCTGCAAATGGACTGAGCGAACTTCTTCGAAGCCGAGGCTCGGGCGGACGGCGACGTCCGTCTGCGAGCAAACTTTCAGCTCCATGCCCGAGCTCGTGGACCACGTCACCAGCGAGCACGTCGCGGCGGGGCTCGAGAGCCTCAGTCATGTCTGCATGTGGGACGAGTGTCTGCGCGGCGGGAAGGCGTTCAAAGCCAAATACAAACTCATCAACCACATCCGCGTGCACACCGGGGAGAAGCCCTTCTCGTGCGCGTTTCCCAACTGCGGCAAGATGTTCGCACGCTCCGAGAACCTCAAGATCCACACGCGCACGCACACGGGTAAGCTCTGCTGCTTCTGGGTCTGTTCACGGGGTGACACCGCTGGCTGGCCGGCCGGCCGGCCGGCGGCGGGGCAACGGGGCGGGGGGACTTAAATCCGTGTCATCCGTACAGACAGCGGCTTCCTGACACTCTCAGACACAATGTGAGGTTAATAAAGATAGCTCTCAGTCTGCAGGGATCCCCCCCTCCTCCATGTCTCTAAAGGCTGAGTCCCTTTTGTGGACACTCTTCCCTCCACCGCCTCCTCGGTTCCTGCTGGAGCCCCGGGTTTGAGGAGTCATGCAGGGTGAGGGATTAACACCCAGCAGGCTGCTGAGGAGGAGGTCAGATGGGGTTAAAGTGAAATCTGATTTTTAGTCTAGATGGATTTTTACTCTAAAGCTCTTTTTAATTCATTTTGCCTCTGAGTTATCTGCAGTAGCTATCAGTGAAACACTGATTTAGTTGGACCATCAAGCCTAGACCATCCTCCTCTTTCTGAACCAGTGTGCTTATTACTGAACCATAACTGTTTTTAAGAGGGAACATTATTATGACACAGAGGTGACATCATTATAATACAGCTGCATGAGCAGAGTTCTGTTTTTCTGCCCGGTGTGTGTGTGCATGTGACCCAAAACACTATGTTAGGTTTAAAATAATTAACATAAAATATTATCAATATTATTTTCAATAATAAGCATTAAAATCATATGAGACCAGGTTGGTAGAATCCCAGTGTTCAGCCAGGGAGCAGAACCAGGTGATGGAATGGAGTCTGGATGTTTAGCCTGAAGCAGTTCCACTAGGGCGGTTGGTAACGTTGCTTTGCAACATGATGGTTCTGGGTTCAAAACCCAGCCTTGGGTTTTTCTGCATGGAGTGGGCTTGTGGGGGGCGACAATGTTTTTTCATGAGGTCTTAGAACCCAAGTAATAACAGGTCAGGTCAATTTCATGTTTAGTATGAAATATCAAATAGCTCTATGGTCCAGAGCTGCAGGTTTTAGAGTCGTGATCTAGCGGATCCACTGGGATCCTGACTCAGTACGGCTGCAGCTAAGAGCAACACCTTCACTTTGATTCATTGTTGCTGTGTTTCCTTCACAAATCTTTGACTAAATTCCTCAAGGTAAAAGCAGAAAAATAATAAAATAACAAGAAAAACAATTTTTCAATTCCAGTGTTTCCATTAAATAAGAAATTAAATTAAAATCACACGCGACATGCCTTTAATGTGGCAAGTCATTAAAGGTATGTCTCACTATCATCGTCAAACTACTTCCTGTCATCTATTTCATCTTCGTGGTTTTTGCCCGTGGCAACATCCGGTTGTTGATCATGTGACGAGTGTGATATGAAAAAAGCATAATAAACCAATTTCAGTATGGCCAAAAAAACCCTCCTCATTTCAGAGCCGAAGCTTTTTATCAAAACACAAGAGTCTTTTTCTTTGTTTTTCAAAATTTCAAGTAAATGAATTTATTTTGGAAATCGCTAATTGTGCAATTATCGAAACAATGAAAACACAGCTAGCGACCATGTATTTGCGCAATTTGACGTAACATGTGAACAAGCTTATTCACATATGATTTTAATTGTGTCTCTTTAATGGAAACACAGCAGATGCAAAATTATGTTTTTTCAACATTAACGGAATATCAACAAAGTTTTGCACCCATTTCTAAGGGAAACGCAGCTAGTGCTGGTCAATGCTACACTGTGCAGCCCTTTCAGTGTCTTGTTTTCCAAAAATGATCTCCAGATGTTTATTGTGTCCCAATCATACCATTAGCCAGAAATATAAATCCAAATACATACTTGCATCTGAGATCTCAGTGAGTGTAATGTTTGTCTTGCAGGTGAGAAGCCATTCCAGTGTGAGTTTTGTGAGAGGCGCTTCGCTAACAGCAGCGACAGGAAGAAGCATTCGCAGGTCCATACCGCTTCAAAGCCCTACGACTGCAAGGCCCTGGGCTGCACCAAGTCTTACACCCACCCCAGCTCCCTGCGCAAGCACATGAAGATCCACGTCAAGTCGTCGCCTACCTCTGACCACCAGGACTTGTACAGCTTTGGCCATCACCACCTCCAGCAACCTGTCCTCGAACCCCTCGACCTGAAAATGAACCACTTCACTTCGTCGCTTGCCAACAGGAGTTCTCATTTCCCACTGTTGACCACCCACCAGTTAGATCTTAGCCCTAGCAACGACGTAAGCGGCAAAGTGTTGCTGCGGAGTTCGTCTCCGGTGGCCATGCCGCTGGATCTCTCTCTGTCGGGCCTCAAGAGCCAGCTGAGCCAGAAGCAGCAGAGCTCCAGGACCCCCCGGCGGAGCCAGCGCTCGGTGAACCCGGCCTTAACTCAGCTGTCAAACATTAAGGAGTGGTACGTTTGCACGAGGACTACAGCGCCACACTTTCCACTGCTCCACCCAGACCACATCAAGACAGAACGCAGCGATGAGGATGACTATGTCACGTAGGGCGCGGGCGATGGTTGCTTCAGACAGAACAAGCAGCTATATGCTCCTTCATCAGTGGCTACTGGCCAAGACTTTCATCAAACATCAAGACAGTTATTGTTTCACTAAACAACCCATATCTGAGATATGTGGACGAATGTGGCGTCCAAAACAACAGCAGAAAGGTCACCATGAGATTCTGAAATAGAGTTTTACAGCTATTACGGTGGTTTTGTTAAATCAAGAGTACCCGAGGATGTTGCTTCCTGGAACTATTTGAACAGGGTGTCTGAACTTCAGAACCAGTCTAAGGGCTGTGATGTGTGAAGCAATTTCAAGGGCTAAAGTGACAGCGATGAAACAAGCCAACAGGCGGCTCGGCGTGTTCAAACAGCCAGCTTACGAAGTGCAGGGCTGTCAGAGCTGTCGAGGATTTAGTATTCTTCAAACAAGCTGGTAGAGGTTTGGTTTGTTTGCTAAAATAGTTGGAACCAGCTGGTCCTGTTGCCAGCTGGGATTTCTTCGACAAGTTGTTAGAAGAGTCGACGAGCACTTTGTTTGAAGCAAACTGAGGCCTTTAGTAACAAAGAATGAGTGGAAACCTGGTCAAAGTGTTACTGTGATCACTACAACATGGCGGCAAGTGGTTTGGCTGCAGTTTGCCTAAGAATTCAATGCATTCGGTAAAAGTTCCTTTGCCTGTCGTAGAAAAATTTAACATCGCTATGAGCTTGTTAGAAAAGGTCATCAGCACATCATCTTTTAACAGAGTTAAAAACTTTCTTTATCTCTTGACTTGAACAACTTGATAAGTAACAGCAAATCAGGCAGATTGATAGAGCCGACATCTTGGTAATGCTGCATAAGAACACGGATGTATTGTTCTGTTAAAGCAGCAGTATGTAATGTTTGTTGAAACTTTCACTGTGACATGACAGTATGCTATGAGACACAAAACTTGAGTTCTTCTGCCCACTCTCTCTGCTATCTAGATACAACCACTCAGTCAGGAGGCGGATCTTATTGCTGTCAATCCTCCTCCTGGTGTTGCTGCTTAACCCCGCCCCTCATTCCCTCTTTGCTCAGCTGTATCTTCTTCCTGATAGCAGATCCTGCTGTGAATGCTAAAGCTAGTTAGCATGGCCACAGATGATGGCAGATAAATGTTTTTTCTGTAATACTAAGTTGTTTCTCTGCTATTAGCACATTGAGCAGCAAGTACATGAGTTTGTTTGACAGCAGTTAGACCCTCCTCCTGGTTCCAATTGGTTGTTTTTGGTCGACGGGATGCATTTTTTCAGACAACACTAATAGCTTAGGGAGCAGCTGTAGGATATTGACCTTTTTGCAGATTATCTGTCTCATATTATGCTGTAATGACATAGTGACAGTTTTAACAAATACGTAAACAAACATTTGTTTTCCTTAAAGGTGCAAACTGTCAGTGAACAACACCATGTTATTCACTAACAGTTTGGTGTTACATCCCACTGATTCTTCCACGTGATCAGTTTGAGTTGTTTTAAATAGCTGACTTAAGCTAACCAGCTGTTAGCCTATCATCACTGGCGAGATGTATTTCCAACAAGCTCACGGTCAAATGAAAACAAATATTTTTGACCGTAACTCCACAAAACTTCCCTTCAAAAAATCCAATCTTCAGGTCTTACCAGTGGCTCAGCGACCTGTGTCTGGTCACATTCCAGTTTACAGCTCAGGATTTCCAAAATGGCCACCAATCTAACACACAGTTGACTGCATTAGATAAAGTAGAACGGATAATGAACTGGTGGAGAGATATAAATTTTCTATATGTGGAAATGTGATCATTCTTAATTGTGAGTGGCCAGGAGTCTATTTACTTTATGTTGTTCCCACTTAACTTCTAGCGAAATGAGTGCACTTACTTCTCCTGGAGGACATTCACTTAGTTTTTCTTGGGAGCAAAACAAAAGAAAAAAAAATTTGATGATGAAATAAAATGAAGAAATCCCTCAATGTTGAAGAAAAAATGTAGAATCATCCTTTTATTTGCTGCTCTACAAAAATACCAGTGCAGACCTAACACTGAAATTGAGTCTGCATATCAACCTAATGAGCCATTGTGTTCCTGGTTGATTCACAAAAAAAACATCACAAAAAATCAAAGCTGAAATAGCTAAATATAGCTGTCGGAATTAATAATAACAGCTGAACTAATTCCTAATACACTCAGTCTAACATTTGGACTCAACAAACCATATATGAAGGTTATAAAGGTTGAAAATCAAAGCGTCTGGAAATAAAACTCAAAGTAATATGCCTTGCAAATAAAACCAGTTGCAACAGAAGAAATAAAAGAACAAATGATGAGAAACAAAAGTCGGTATTGGAGAAGTAAACAGTGGTAAATTAACTGATGTAAGTGGGATTCATATGTAAAAACAGTCTAATTTTGGCTTTCACCTTGAATCTGTGATTTATACACACGTCTTCTACATCTCACCACCAACTGATGGTGTTGTGGAGACAGAGTTTACTGATCAGTCTTAGGAGGTAGTCAGAGCTGTAACGACCTTTGGTCAAAAGCATAACTTTAACAAATTGTTTCCTCACGAATCTTCTGTCATAAATCGCCAATCAAGCAACAATGTTTAAGCAACAGTATTGCAGTGAAATATTTCCAATATATGGCAGTTGAAGAAGAATTGATTGTTGAGTCCTGAATCTGCACTGAACAAAAAAAAAAAAAAAAAGCTGGAACATTTATTTGGTATCTTGTCCCAATGAAACAATAATTGTCTTAAGAAAAGAAGTATCTTTCCAGTTACTGGTGATTGGCTGGTTCCTAAAGGAACAGGACAGATTCCAGTGAATGCACTAACGCAATGAATGCATTGGAGGATCTCAGCGTTTTGGACCCTTTGTTCATTCTACCAGTCAAATGTAGAGGTTTGGAGATGATGAAGTCAGTTTTCAGTGGATGATAATCCATCTGCCCAGGAAGGCAGATCAACTCAATGTTCTTAATCCAATTTTATCCATTCAGTGAATTCAATTCCTCCTAAAAGTCAAGCTGTTAGAGGTGGGACAATCTTCTCAATATTGAGGGATTCCAGCATTTCTGTAGAAAAATATGTGTCATTAATAATAACAGTATCATTTCATGTTCTGAGTTCTGTTTCACGAAGCCAAGCGTTGAGCTGTCCAACCTCTGGCTTTGGGTCACATTGGTAGTTTTGGATCAAGCATCCTCCAGGAATTGTAACTCCATGTTTGCTCTAAAGAATAAAATGTTTCAAACGGTCAGCTTGGCGTCCAGAACCGACTGGATGTGTTGATGTGACAGACTAGCACTTCCATGTGTTTCCCAGACTTAAGTGGGATCACAGCTTGAACCTACCAGAGTTTCTTTCTCAGTTTTCAGACGCTTTCTTGTTTTATCTGTTCCGGCTCAGGCAGTCAGATGTTCATGGGACTGGCTGTTCTGTCCCCAGTAAATGTGTTGCTAAAGTTAAGGAAGTGGCTGAAATGAACGATGGGTAAATTCCAGCGACGTGAACCTGCCGTATAGAACAAGCCATCAGGCCACTCTCAACTCCCATTTATTGTGCGACAAAAATGAGAGAAATAAAATAAAGGCAAACAATTGGACTTTAAAAAGTTGAATCCTGTTGCTGACGAATGGTTTTTTTTTTTATATATAAACATTTATTGTCTTTTTTTTATTAATGTCTTCTGTTTTCTTAAATGGCTCCTGGATTCAGCCTTTGTATGCATTTTTAATGGTAGACTGGAGAGGTTTGTTCTGTATTTAGACGGACAGCATCCGGAGTGGCCTGGTCAGCCCCGGACCTGATGAGGTCGCAGATGTTCTGCAGCTCTTCTTGTAAATGGACAAAGGTAACAAACGTGAGTGAAACAAAGACAGTCTCTGGTGACATTTTTCGTTGTCCTTTATTATCATTCTCAGCACATTCACTTTGAAATAAATTCAAGCAGAAAACGCTGAAGTTTCGACTTTATTTCAAGAGAATATCACTGTTAACATCTTGATACATTGAAAGGTCTGTCTGGGATTCTGAAGCGAGGTTCCGTGTCGACATCATGACCAGTCAGTATCTTCCCTCCAGTAGATGGGTCTTATTAGATTGATTATTTTGCAGCTAATGGCCAAGACGAAAGAAGTCCTCATGTCCTCATATCTTGAAAATGCCCACTCACTATTATCTGACTTTAAATCACTGATGTTTTTGCAGTACATGTCTTTATTCACATAGAAGTCTACATTCACAAGCTGGATCTTGGTCCATAAAAAGAGGAAACAAAGGTTGTAGACTGAAGCAGAGGGAACTGATCCACTGGAGATGAAAAATGAGACAATTTCAAAATGAGTGAAGTCTACACTTGTATGTGGCCAGAAACTCAGTCTGGCTGTTTAGTTCTGTCCTATTTTCTTTCAGCTTATCTGTTGCCTCACCAACAGATACATTGATCCTCACATTGTTTTCACCCTGTTAAAAAAAAACGTTTTTTAACAAAAAAAAATGATACCATGATTACTCACTTAAACTTTTCCCATGTTATATTTATTTAGTTTACAGACTGTGCAGGATCATTCACCGAAATAAAAGCAAATACATAAAAATAGCTAGCGAACGTCAAATTGAATTGCACCTGGCTGTCACCTGCTCCTGACTTTCCTCCCCAAGGCTGAGCGGGTACATCCGGGTTCGAACACTTCGAAGCTCCGTCCAGGAGGGGGCAGTAATGTAAGCGCTGAGAAAACTCAGAGAAGAAGAGCAACCTGGGCAACATGGCGGTGTACAGACAGGCAGTGTTCCTGCACAGGCTGCTGTTTGTCGTGAAGGTGAGTTTTCCACTAAGTGACTGTGACGGGGTCAGGCTGGAGGCTCAGTCCGACCAGAAGTTAGCACCTGAGGAACCGCAGCGGCCTGCTGCGACACAAAGACGTAAAGCTTTAAACTCCAGTAGTTGATGTTGGGCAGCGGCTGTTGTTCTGTTACACTGCTGAGCAAAACATTACGACCACTGGCACCAGCTATTGACATGGAGTTTTCAGTGTGGGGAGCTGGTTTTACAGAGCAACCCTATCTGTTCAAGAATAAAGCTTAGATTTAAAAAAAAAAGTTTTTGTAAATTAGGCAAAAAACAAAACAAAACAAAAAAAAAAAAAAACAGAAAACCTGGACTGCAACTTGCAGACATCTTCATTTGATTCAGTTGATCTGCATCCTTCTTTCTGTCGAGATAATCGACTTTTCTTAATATGCAGGACAGCGAGTTTCAGTAGAGGATGAACCTCATCTGGTCCACAGCTGGCTGAAACAGGGGAGAGCAGTAGGAAACATACACAGATCTGGGGGGGAAAGAAATGATTTTCTGAAATGCACCAAGTTTTGTCTTGGTGTGTAATGACATGCTGCCATTTCCAGGTTCAGTACTAAGAAAATGTGAAATAAAACAAACTCCAGTTATGGGGATGAAATCTCCGTAACTGAGAGACATGTTGGGTGCCTTAAAGGCCTTGTGCCTCTGAATCTTTTAACTCTATCTCTTTTTCTGAAACTCCACTTTCAGGTAGCCGTCAGTGCATTCCTTCTCTATTAGTCCTTCAAACACATTTTTACCAGCTATGCACTGAGAAGTAGCTTGTATAATGAGCTCAACAGATGTGCAGACCCACTAGGTGTTTGCTAATTGCTGCATACTAGTCTGAAAGAGCCGAGAAGGGGAATCTTCGGGGAAGGCTGTTCTGTGAGGCAGAAGGGTTTCATCATCTGGGAACCCACTCTAACCAGAACCCTTGTGGTGTGTGCGTGTTGCAGTCTCCTCCATGCCAGGCCCGGTGCTGTGCAGGAACCCACAGGCCTCAGTACTCCACCGCCACCAGCCCCAATGAAAAGGTGAGCTGGGATTCTTCCTCTGCTCTTTTCCACTCTGACAGGACATGAGAGAAACTCTTCAGTGTTTTTGTTTTTTATTCTCAACACGAAAACGGATTATGATGTTCAGTAGTGGAGCAGAGCTTTCTTAGCCCAAAGTTTACACACCACACCATGTTCTCCACCATGACAGTCACCCAGAAGCCCAGTGGAATTTGCTTTTTGTTGTGTTCATTGCAACATGCAGTAATAGTTCTGTTGATATTCGTTCATGCATAGGTTACTTTTATGTAGAGCTGCTAGTAATAGAGCTGTGAACACTGTTTTCACAGGGAGACAGGAAGTTGAGATGGAGCAAAGGGTTAGAGCTGCAAATGTTGCGTTCAAGTGACCCCAGATTAGCTGTGTTCATTTACTGACTTGTTGCTTTTCTTCTCCAGACCTTTGAGAAGATCCTCATCGCCAACAGAGGAGAAATAGCCTGCAGGGTGAGAGAGACAATCGGCTTTAATGTTTAGTCTGCTTTCTCTGTTATCCTTGCCTACATTTTACTGACACAGGCATCCCATAATATTCTTTTCAACATCCAGGTAAATTGCAGAAAGTGTAGAAATAAAAAAATTATTATACTCAACTTTACTTTATACAACTTTAATTTTTATTATTATATCTTTCTAATGTGGATTATAAGAGAAATTTTCAAATGTACGCTGGGTAAATAATATTTGGAAGATAAATTGTCAAAGCTACTAAATACCCCTGGTGTGTGTAGATTTCCTATTTGCTGGTTTAGACGTGTTGTTTTTCTCCAGGTGATGAAGACGTGTAAGAAGATGGGCATCCAGACTGTAGCTGTTCACAGTGATGTAGACTCCAGTGCTGTGAGTCTTCTCTCTCTCAGCAGCAGCATTAGTGGCTCTCGGTTTTTGTTCAGATGCTGCAAGCCAAACATCTGTCCAGACAGATTATGACGTGGTTTTTGTGATGCGTTTGTGTGTGTCTCCAGGTTCATGTAAAGATGGCTGACGAAGCTGTGTGCGTTGGCCCTGCTCCCACTGGGAAGAGCTACCTGAACATGGAGGCTATCATGGCAGCCATCAGGCAAACTGGAGCACAAGCAGTGAGATTTTCATGTCTTCAGCCTTTCCTGAGCTCATGGGTGTTCCCCATGAGTCACAGCTAGAGTCTCAGGCTCAATGATCAGCCTGAATCTGAGTGTTAAACAGTGTTTTCTTTTTTCTGTTTTTAGGTTCATCCTGGGTATGGATTTCTTTCTGAGAACAAGGAATTTGCAAAGCGCCTGGTGAGTTCCAGTCACAGAGATTCAGTTTTGGGATCGGGTCCAGTTAGAAGCCACATCACACACACTCTGGCTACACAGCCCATTTTCTAACACATATAACACACAAGACCTAGCTGGCTTCCCTGCTGAAACACAGAACAGTTAGGTAATCGAATGATGTTATATGTTGTCGTTCAGCCACTCGGTGGAACCCAGCCATTAGGGGTTCCTCAAGGACACGTCTTCAGTCCTCTGCTCATTACTCTGCAGACACATCACTGATTGCTGATGACACAGGAAGGGATGATGTTTCAGATTACATTGGAGGATTTAGGAGATGCTACTTTTCTCACTTTGTGCTCTCAGTAGTTTTCTGTATTTTTTTTTCTGTTTTTGCTAGGCTGCAGAAGGTGTAACATTCATTGGTCCAGACACTCATGCGATACAAGCGATGGGGGATAAAATTGAGAGCAAGCTGATTGCTAAGGCTGCCAAGGTCAACACTATCCCAGGATTTGATGGAGTTGTCAAGGTACGATGTCACTGATGATGAAAAAGAAGCCAACTTCACACGGTGGTCACCCACTGTGACACGAAGTATTAAAATAATACCCATCTTCTATGTATTATTTTAGCTCATATTGGGTCTTTTAACAGGTAAAGATTTGACTAATAAAATCAAGAAATAACTTGCCCTCAGGTGGTTTTAGGTTTGTTCTGTCCTCCTCTGACTCTTAATAATCTGTGTTATTAAAATAAAGAGGCATTTCATAGGAGTACAGTGGGATGCACTCTATAGCCAAATACTTAGCAATTAGTATGTTACCAATTCATAGAACAGATTGTCTGTAGGCACTTTGCAAAAAGAAAAACAATCAAAACTCATAAAATCATTCCAATCTAATCACACAGAAAGTTTCATGGTTATTAAACATCTGTCAAACTTTGTTTATTATTTGAACTGGTGAAGTTTTTTTGTGTATGGACTTCAGTCTGTATCCGATAGTGAAAAAGGTTTGAACGAAAGACAAAGAGAAGAATCCAGCAAGAAGGCATTCATCATCCAAAATTCATTGCAATCACATAATTAATTATTATCACTTTCAGGCATTTGATCTGTATTTCTCAACAACTTCATTGTTAAACAGGTTGCTTAAAAACTCAACAATATATCTAATGTTTATATCATCATTTCATATTGATACTATAACAAATCAACGTATTTTTCCAGATGATGCATCTTTCTGCTCTGCCTGCTGCTGTTGGCAGATGTTAGACTTTTCTTTTTAGCAAATCTGGGTTAATGGGTCAGAACTCTCAGGTCAAGCTGGACCGGATCAGAACTCTACCTGCAGCTGCAGGTGAACCTTGACCTTGGTTTCTCATTGCTAACCAATGCCCACCTCTCTCTACTCCACAGACTGCAGAGGAAGCTGTGAAGATCGCTCAGGAAATAGGTGAGTCTTCCCCGTTCTCGCTGACAGACTCATCATGATCTGATCTGGTTCTCTCCTTAAATCAGTGCTATGCAAATTTTTGCCTCAGGGGGCCAAAACCGGCAAATTTCATCTATTGGCAAAATTCATTCAATAAAACATGCAAAACCGAGCTTGTGATTCTTTTTTTCCCCCCCCCCAAGTTTTATTTGCAAGACTTTCATAAAATTTGCATATAATTAAAGATCCAAAACATAAAAAGGACTTTGAACAATAACCTTATTAAAAGAAAAAGACAATTTCCAAATTCCTTGGATTATCAATTGTTGTTTATTTTGTTGGACAAATTGTTAAGCATTCTTGATTTATGATCTGGTTCCAAACAAAATCCTTTCAAAGGCTACAAACATCCATCTTGCCACACTGTGGACCCCCATCCTTCAAACTGTCCTCTGCT